CTCGTTTTGTATGGGCTGTGTGAACATCCAAGTGGGGAGTCGGCCGATCGCACGATCGAACTGTCCTTTCGTTAAATCATATCCATCCGCTTGTCTGGTGGCAATAAAATGCTCATTTAAATTCTTAGTTTAGTCAGTTTCAATCAAACTTCTGTTCATTCATTTCATTGATCATTGATCATAAAGGTGACGTTTAATCTGGTAATAGGTGTAATTACCTGTATAAGGCGTATGCCACAGCAAATACGAAGGTGACGACTAATAACAAGTCATGTGCGATGAATGCTTGGCATGCGATCGGCCATGAAAGACAGTCGAATTTGTTTTGAAGGTGGAAATTCGATCGATATGTTGTTGGTGGCGGTATCTTTCAGGCGAATGAATGCCATTTGGCTTTGTTTCGACTGTTTCAGCAAAATCGACTGTTCGACTGAAAGCCGAGCGATAATTTATACGAAATCCAATCAATCTCATGAATGGGAGAGTATTCCAGTTTGTGATCACACCGAAACAAATTGAATCAAAGCATCGATTTCACTCCTATGAGCATGGTATAAAGGTAGCACATACACACAAACGCACCAAACAGCACTTGTGCAATTGAGAACGATCATCCGCTTAGAGATTAACTTCATTTCGTCAACCAACTTCATCGACTTTGCCATACCAACGATGATGATGAACAACGCGATATCATACCAACGCCAGTGTTTTATTAATGCAGATGTGTAATGTACACTGTAGTTATTATTCATTTGCATATACCACTCACGACTACACGATTAAATACGAACGATTGATAACAACAACAATGACTACTACACTCCGTTGCTAACAGCACATTTCAGAACGCCTCCATCCATAAAACTATACGTACTCCAAATATCTTGAGTTCATCTTACAATTTGGTAATTTTTGGTTGCATTGTGATTATCTCGTAAATGTTTTCTTGAAGTTTTCGTTCAGCTGAGCAGAATGAATGATATTAAATAAGAGGTGACGATGCACGAGACGTGCATGTATATAAGTGACATTTTGACGATATCTCCAATCTCACGCATCCATTCCCTTTCTTTCGCAATCAATCTTCGCGACAGTGGGAACCAATAAAGCGTAATTTCCATGTCAAATCTTCTCATTCGACTGGTGTTGCGTTGTTTCGGAGAAGATTTATTTGAGCAATTGAAATTCCTCTAAAATTATGCGTATTTAAATGTGTTCGTGAATGATTGCGTTCATCAATCGCTCCTTCTTTTCAGCACAATAACCGTTTTATTTGGATCGCATTGCACATGTTTTTGTTTGCTTTAATAACTCGCATATACCATTCTGTAATTCTGACTATGCTTGCTATTGAAAGTGAACTGTTAACACTTTATGTATTACTGAACTAATTCGAAAAAATTTTATTTAATTTTGAGCCGATTCAAAGAAATTTCATTGTTTGATGCTGATGATGAAGATGAGATGTGTGTACAATTGAAGTAATCGTTTATCATCTTTATTTTCTTTCATACCGTACCCTTTTAAAAGTGTATTTGTCTCTAACGTTACTGTGGTGCTATGGGAACATTGATATGGTCAGGCCAGCTGTTGTCATTTGAATCCAATCAATTCATTTCGAACAATTTTCATCATAAAATCAGCAATATTTAATGTTTCCGCATTCATAACATCAATTTATAAAGTAAGTCATCAGAAATCTGCATTCAAGAATAATTATCTTTTATGGTGAGGATGCATTTCACACAACGATCTCACTTTCTGCATTTCCGTTTCCGACGTCTAGATGAATAAGTGCAGAAGTTTCAGTGTAACTTAAACTGGCAGCTTAAGACAAATGAACGATGAGTATCAGAATGCGCATCACAGCTGTCGTAACCTTATTAATTTAAGCTATTCTTTTGTGGTGATGTGTGCTAGAGCACTACGATACAATTGCTTAAAGCAGACAACAGTCGTCTTCTATTTGTTGTAGTAATTTTGCTGAAGCACAAAACACAAAATATTCGTTCGTATCCATCCAACCATCTTCTCATTATCTATCAGTCTGTTTACTTTTCGGTATTTTCATCAATGCGCCCATTCGTTTCATCATTAGTTTTTGTTGCTACGCTCGAACATGTCGTATCACCCGCACAAATAATTCTCAATCATTATTTTCTTGTAGAAAACGAGAACTCGTTTAAAATCTCTTCGACGTTTCACGGATGTGTGATTGTTATATCGGATGGAGCACAAAAAGCTGCATTTGCTATTGTAACGTGCAAGTTTACGGTTGATTTTGAGCGTTCTTCCATTTACGGTGTCGCCGAAACGTCGGAGAATGTTCTTATCTGATAGGAATGTTTTTATCGGCAATAACAACAACATTCCTTCGTGGAATTCATACATTTTTGTTTGATGCCAATTTGCTCAAATAAATAATAATGTTTCGTCGGTAAAATTCTTATTGGCTAAAGTTCTTATTCTTATTGGTAAAGTTCTTATTGAATTTCTTAATTTGTAGTAACGTTCATGATTCTTATCTAGTGCGGTGTAATATGGCAACTGTTCCTTTAAAGAAAAAAAAGTTATGCTGATTTTTTTACTATCTATTTCTTTCAAATAGCATTTGCATAGTCAAATGTACTGATTGTTAAGCAAATTTTTGTCAACAATACGCTCTTGTAATAATGAACTCGTTTCAGTCGCTCATTTGCACCCGTTCAGCAGTCAGTGTATGGCGTTTGAATTAGTTGATGCATATTTGTTGTTGTGATCATCTTATATGGTGTCATTTCGAAATTCATTCACAATTTGATGCTGGATGCACTTTTCTTCGTTTATCTTTGCTCTGCGTGGATGCTTGGATGGAATTGCGCAAGCTATCTGCAGAGATTACTACGGATCGATTGCCGTTCTCCTCAGAACTCTAATTCTGTCCAGTCATTCGCTCTATTGATTAGATATATTCTTGAGTCATTGACGTTCAGTGCAGCTGAACGAGTGTAGAAGTAGTTACCGTTTTATCACGTATCCTGTCGAGTTTCGTCATTTGTAGTAACGTTCATGAGTCTTATCTTCATGCAATATGTTATCGTTCAGTTGAAATAATCATACTGATTGTCTTCTGCTTGTGAGGGGTTAATTGTTTATGACTTGTGAGTAATCGTCTTTGACGGCAGTTGTTTCTATTATCTGATATGGTTGATGGCTTATACGATTGCTATGAAGATGAGTGATTATTGCTATGTGTTTCTTTCAGTGGAACGTTTCTGTTATTGGTTGTTTCATTTCGTGTACAATGCTCATATTTTATTAAGATTAACTCAAACAGTTCACGTTCCTTGCCGACTTGTTAATATTTGCGTTCTGTTCCTTGTGGCCGTGAAGAGTGTGTGCTTCATTCATCCATTATTTTAGTGCATTGATAATTTCAGAAGTTCGCTATCGAAAAACGTTAACATCGCTGTGATTCAAGATGCCGAATTGCCCTCGCTGCAATAAGCCCGTCTACTTTGGTGAATTTTTCAACTTTGATTGGTCTTTAGCACTGTTTTCGTCGTAATATGCTTTCGTGAGGTTTGAGTATCCGACGAATGCCCAGTGTCATTGCTGCATTCATTTCAAGACGACACATGTCCAAAACCACTAGGAATGATGTCAAAAACCTCAAAATTTTGCATGCTTGAAACGATTGTCAATGACCAACAAATAAGCGCTTTCGAAAGGTGTCAGTGATGAGGAATAATAGTTTGATTGAATAAATCCGCATTCACAGTATATGGTAATATAAGTTTTTGTTGAAGCTGAGCGTGTTACTTCAATTGGTAAAGACTGGCATCGACCGTGTTTACGATGTGAAAATGAAAACTGCAAAAAAACACTCACTGCTGGTGGACATTGTGAGGTACAATATTACTTGATTACATTTCAATCTATTGCAATCTATTCACTTGCCGCAAACCTTTTTCTAAATCTTTAATATCTTTTTTGGTTAAATTCATTAATTTTTCTCTTTTTGGATGTGAATGTAGTGACAAGGTATTGGTGAAGTGGATTCGTATGTTCTATTTGTGGGGAAAGTGATATGTGTTTGTGGTATGAGATATGTGGCAGTAGCATGAGTTGATGCGATTAGTAAGTAGCAGTAAATGGTACTAATATCAATTATGAATCATACAGCCTCTGGCTACTATTACCACACAATGAATGAACGACTGCATTTGTCAAGAGACAAACCCAGAGTTCTTTTCTAAGGCACTTGCTGATACTGTTTGAATGAAATGCGTTTTATAGCGTCAAGGAAAACCTTACTGTAACCAGTGTTATGGAGCTCTGTTCGGTCCGAAAGGCTATGGTCATGGTGGATCTGAGTCGCATACATTTCACAACGGATTAACTGGCAAAGCGAATTAATTGAATTTCACTGGTCGCATCATGTACAGCGTTGTCATTCTCAACTTAATCAAATAACATCTGTTCGATCATGTCATATTATATTATATATTCCGTTACATTTTATCAGTTATACTCTCTAATCAATTCGATGAAAACTTTAAGTCTGTTCAATGTTATTTACCATTCTATGCGATATCGATACTTTATTGTTTCTTTAAAAGATTTTTTTGAATAAAATTTTAATGTCATCAATGTGAAGCTGTTGTAGTAAGTTTAAGAGCACTTCCAGAATATGTCCAGTGTTTGCTCATTTGAATGTTAAGTGATGAGCTCAAAAGAGACTGAAAATTTGCATAGTTGAGAGGTTTATTCAAGTATATCCACATAATGCACGAGAGATAAATCGGACAGAAGAGGGTTTCCGTATAACACGACTAAGAGCTGTTTCAGTAAACAAAAAGGTCAAATAATGCTGGCAGTGAAAGTGAGCAGGCAACAGCTCATGAATCGCTGTTATGGGGGATAGTCCGATAAAGTTATTAAAAGGCAATGATGTTGGTCAGGAAACGACATGCCTTCAAGTTTGATCCAATAATACTGCACTTTCAGTTGTGCAATCAGCTGAAAGCAGATGGTGAAAGAATAACTGCATTCCCAGAACCGTTTGAATTAATGCGAGGTGAAAAGGCATTTGGTGAGAGCAGTGTGAGTACAAGGTATGATGGCGAGTATACTGATGGTGATAAGACGAATGGACTGAGTACCAAAGCGCGTAATGCGGTCGGTTGGTAGATGTTTGGGCTTAGCGCGTAAGGACATATAATGAGAGGCGATAGAACGGTTGGTGAGAGTATATATGGGGATAGGACGTTGGGCGCGAGGATGTAAGGATTCAAAACTTGTGGTGCGAGAATGACGGGTCGCATCACGATGGGTGAGAGCACGTATGGTGATAGTGCAAAGGGGGAGAGGATCGTTGGAGCGATTATATGCGGCGAAAGTATGGATGGGTTAAAGAGCCACGGGCTTAGAATGATGGGACCAAGAATTGAGGGGCTGAAAACGGCGACTGATAGGAGGACAGGCGAGAGGATCGTCGATGAGAATATCTGATTGATGGCCACCGAGAAGACTATCGGCGAAAGAACAAAAGCTGGTAATTGTTCTAGCTGACGTTTGTGGCGCTTGATGTGTGGTGATTTATTGGCATAATAACGTATATCCGAATCCAACTGACGATAGATATCCGCTTCAGAGAGTTTCGAGAAACGATTTAGCGAGTTCGTATCGTTAAATGGTGAGTTTTGACCGTAGACGAACTGCAGTTGTTCGTTGTTCAACACGGAGTAACCTTTGCGTTTGAAATCATTCAACTGAAATAACAAATACAGTTCACAGCTTCAATCCGTTTTCCATTCATGAGTTTCAATCTTTTACGCATGACACCCACTGATTCAGTATGCTTAAATTCGACTGACAAGAACTTGAAACATTTTCTTCTTATGAGAGCTAACAGAAAACTGTTCTTAAGCTGAATTCTTTTCCGGGGAATATTTACCTACTATACCAGTGGTTCTCCCGTTTGGGTGCTCCATTACCCTTTTTGATGATCCGGCAGGCCGCGTTACCCCCGAATTATCCAAAACGGGTAAAGTGACTTCCTATGAGAACCACTATTCTAAACCGTTGCGTTGCTCATTATTGCAATTGATTATGATTGCATGCGAAGCTATTGTCTACGACACGCTCAATTCAAACTGATTCAGATGGAATCTCATTCTTTTCAGACGTGTTCTATTCACTCTCATAACTATTTCATGCATATATTGTTCTATTGATGAGTTTTTCTCATTCATTTCGTCTCATTTCACTTCACAGTTCGAACCAATTTCTCATTCAGTAGCATATACTATTTACTGAATATGTTGACGAGTGTTAACAGCCGAAGTCAACAATACAACAAACGAATGTTATTGCTGAACAACATTCAACAGTCAAGTGATCAATTATAGAGTGTATCTAATAGAATGAGAATTTGAATTAAACTGTTGAGTGAAATGAATGAGAAGTTAGCAGAAGAGAACAATTTTGGTGATAAATAGTACAAGAGCGATTATAACACCTCGGAAAAGAATGAAAATCCTGTTAAAACGAGCCATTGATATTCATTTTCAGAAAATAAAGAATGTTGCCATCAACTAATCACATTTACATATTCGAGTTACAAAAAATACCATCATAATGGCGTTATATCATAACGTAGCAACTGCACCGAATTCTAATTTCCTGACCCCCTTCATTATCCCTTAACACCTCTGAATTACCCAAAATGGGTAATTTCACCCCTATGGAAGCACTGTACTATACGATCCATTATCTCATAGTTGTGTCTCAAAAAAACGTATGAGCGTTCACAGAATTTCTGAGTTGACAAAAAATGAACCTGTTTTCTTGTGAGTTGTTGCGATATCGATTCGAATAGCTCTACTTTCTTCTTTGCTTGTTCTCCACTGATATCAGTTAAATTCTCTTTTGTAAAATACAGTGGTTGATTATCGATGCCACGAGGCATTTTCTCCAAGTTGAGAAAGATTCGATCCGTTCCCTTCTCCTACAAAAGTGTCGTCTCGACTCTCATCTAGTCTATGCCGAAGAGAGAAGAATTTCTATCGATGGGAATTTATTAGAGAGGATTTTGTTGACGTTTTTATTCGAACATAAACCATGTTTACCTCAATAAGCTTGATAACATCCGACACTCCAGACATTTCCAGTGCAACATTCATCCACTCTTCATAGTCGTTGTTTTTTAGTGTTCTGGTGATATTCGGTAAACTGAATAATGCTTCAGAAGCTTTTCCGTGCTCATGTAAGCTGAATAACGATGGTGAGAATATAGATAACTGCAATTAATTGACCAATTTTTCTCATATGGAAAGCTGACAGGTTTTCTAGAAGTATGTGAGGAAAGGAATGCTTGAGTTCAAATTTTCGACTGGTTAGGAAGCTCGTGAAGATTTTAGAATTCTCTTAATTTCTACTAGATAGAAGCAGAACTTGCCTATGCAATATAAATAAGCGTGAAAGGTCAAGAAATATCTGTAGCTTACAATTAGAGCAAATCATTTGAAATTTCCTATCACATAATGTGTTCGTATCAGTTAAGATTGTGTTTTATACCGTATTGTTAGCATCATCCGGAACGACTGAAAACAAGCGTGGTGAAGCAATTTTGAAGGTCTTGTTCTGAATTTCGGTGCCGTTCCTTCCGGATATAATCATCGCTAACTGCATTGCTCTATGAAATAAACGTTTTGCTTCCGTATTCTCTGCGTTAATGAGTTCATTCGCCACATCAACATTGTTTTGAAATGTTCCATCAGTCGATTTTTTCTCCTCCTAAAATATCAGTTTAACAGAGCTCTTAGAGGCTATCATCATGAACGTTTCATCCTTTGACTGTAGCATCATCTAATTCTGTCGTATTCAGCAGTAAGCTGCACAATTCACAGTTCATATTCCATCAAACTTCACTGTTCATAGTTCGCTAATGTCTCATCAAACGTCGGCAAACAATTTTTCAATTTTTTCATTCACTTTACCTTGGATTTCAATCGTTCCATATAAACATCCTTTGCCAACTTTCCAAGTCTACCGAACCTGCTTTCCAATAGCTCTTTGAAAGAATGTATTTTTTGAAATTTCCTCTGCATGTTTTCAATATCTGACATCACATTTGTCCATCTGTAATTTAGCATTAAGATATTCGCTAATCACTCAGATCTACACATATCAATCAAGCATTCTTAAAAGGTGGATGAAACTTAGAGGCTTTCGAGACTGATTCTTTACATAAAAAGAACGTATTGTTCACGATACGCCGTTACGTTGAGGTCTGCGTGTGTATTTTTGGTATTTTCTTGCGTAAATACGCAGAAGTGAATATCCTCATAGATCAGTTACAAGCATGGAACCCAGCATTCAGATGCTAGATCGTTGAAGAACGGAAAGTATGCGATGAAAAACTCACGATTGATGGACATTCTTATTTTTGAGTCGTGATACCGTACGACTGAAATATTTGCCGATGATACCGAATGGTGTTAATCGATCGTTTTCTGTTAGTAGACTATAGTTTATCTTCCTTTTAATTTCACGTTTCGTTACTTTTGACTTTCTTACGGTCTGACTGTCTTCATGTTCCTCACGTGGTTTCAATAAACTCACGAAAATATTCTTCATCCCATGCGATTTGGTCAGTTCTTTTAATTTATGGAATCGCCTTGCTGAAATTGTTTCGGTCGATTAAAGAAGTGCACATCTCGTAGTGATGATTAGTACCCGCAAAAGACGTTAAATGAGTGATCGATCATCTTACCGATCAGATTTGATGTATTGGTCTGTTTGGTGCGTGCATCCATTGCATTTACGACGCATTTGGCGTGTTCGTTGAGATTCGCTGCTCGATTGCTGCATTTGAACAGCTTATTGCGGTGGAATTCGTTCAGGTGGGTACTTCTGAATTTGGAATCTTTTTTGAATTGAATGGATACGTGAAGCAGTTCAACTGATAGCTGTAAATGGTATAGGAGTGATACTACATCGTAATTTTCCTGATTTTGCTAAACACAGTGATGAGGAAGGAATCGTTTGGGCTTCAAAAGGTTCAAGAAGCGACTGAAAAAACCGCCCACTCTCTCAAACGATTCAAGAAATAACGGTTTTCTTAAACAGCACCTTGAAACTCATTGTTTAGCATTATCGTTTTCCCATTACTGGCTTAACATGAAACAGCCAAAGCTCATCATGATATGACAGTCCAGGTTCACTGATTATCGAGTTCATCTGATGATTAGCAATTAGAAATCGACCAGATTATGAGATCAGAGTGTCAAAAAGTGAAACTCATAGAGTAATTACAGAAGGATACACGAAAACCAAGTTGGAATGATTGTCAACATTGAAACAGTATCAACCGTTCGCTAGCTATCGAAGACATTATGCTGCTGATGCTTTGCATCACCCATCGTTCAATCAGATCAACGCCCATTTTATAGCTGATCGGGATGTTGAGCTTTTTGCCGTCATAATACTGAGCTCCTGGCATTGTGTCGTGTTTATTCATCGAATCAGGGCTAGTTCCTTTGACGAATCCTTAAAGTTTTCTCGCAATTTCGCATCGTTCAGCCTTATTTGTGATATTACTTTCTGTTCATTATAAAACAATGTCTCTGGCTCAGTGTACGTGTTGGCAACATTTTTATATTGAAGAACAATCGGTTCGTGTTTGTGATGCTTATTCCGTCTTGGAATTGTTCTCTGTAGATTGGTTTTATCAAATTCAGCAATCAGTTCGGCTTATAATGAACCACACCAACAGTTAGGCGTAGCAATCACGAAAACAATGCCATATGCACGTATTTTCACGCACATATTTCATTAGCAACATTATAGTCTCTTAAGGCTCTCGCTCGAAATCGTGCGTTCGACGGCACGCCCGACTAAATTATTCTTCAGCCATAATCCACTTACCAAACATCATAAACAAACCGAGTGCCACATATTTCGTAATTACCATCGTTAGCAATATTGGTTGTGCTGTTGAAAGAGTTCTGAAACGATACGATCAAATGCTTCGTCCAAATTCGGATAAAACGCAAAAAGCACATCCATGTATTCATTGCATAAATATTGTGATCTATTGATAAAGCTAAAGTATCAACGGATGAATTGTAATAACGAAAGAAGCATGAGCTGATGATCCAGGATGCTGATTGTCTTTCAGCGAACGTTTATGCAACAGCTGAAATATCGCCATTAATAATAATGACAGATAACAATCGCATTTCTGAATTCAACTGTTTTTATCTTGACCACAATCATTTTTTGCTCTTTCTTTCCGATTGCGTTATTAGGTTAGTGTCGAATGAACAAAACGCATGCAAACCAAATGGAATTGACACCAATTGTATTTGGTTTCCATGCGACGTGCGTAACCATGAAGCGCTATTCAAGTGAAAACTCACTGCAATTAGCGTTCGAATGCATCAAGTTCGTCGTTCCATTTCTGTAGCACTTCACGGCTGATTGATGCAGCACTTAACAATTTTTGCCAGTTTCCATTCTTCCACACTTATCAAATGCACACTGAGAAACGATTTGGACGTGGCAATGCGAAGGACGAACAAAAAATGGTATCAAATTAGAACTGTCGAGAAAGTGACGATATCTAATTAAGGACATTCAAAAAACAATATATCAGTTAATTGAATGACCTCCATTTCGATGAATGATTTATGGTACCACACAATGTGCTTGCAGATGCATGATCGTTTGCATACTTGTGTAGGCGATAATTAATGGGTGTTATTTGCGTATTCTGTGCAACACTTTCAACGTTATCACATTTTTATGTTGCAAATGATCTCGAGGAGTGAGATCGAACGGTCTTCGATTCTAATTTAGTTTGCAAGAGTTTTTTTCATGCGATTTTATCGGGTAAAGGCTGTGCTTAACACAGACTTACATCTTACTTACAGCTAGCATGTTATGAACGGAAAAATGAGGCTGATGAACATTCAAACAGTATTTTTGTATTATCGGTGAAGAGCTGTAGTTGCAAAGTAACCATGAATAGCGATTTTGTTGACAATTCTAAGCCGATCGGGTACTCCTGAAACCTTATCATGGTCATGATTGATCGAAAGGACAAAAAATCAGCACTTGAGACCATGAAATTTCAGGATATCGACGTTGGGTTTTTGGCTAACAACTTATTCAGTATCGCCGTTTGTATTTTGATTGACGATGCCCATTCCGAACAGATTTTGACTTTTTTTTAGATCTGTATGTGAATTTGTGCTGTCCTCTTTTCTACACAACACATCAAGCGTGACATTTCACTGTGTATATGAAAATACTGAATGTAATACGGACAGAATTTGTTGTTTCCGTTGTATTGTTTTTTTCAGATATTCGAATAAATTTTTCAATAGAAATTCTCACTATGCCATATTTCATCTCGCATCGAGCATGTATGCCCACACGCAACATTCAATTAGCGCAATTGAAAACCAATCGCATTTTGCTAATGAGAGCAGGCTTGCGCACTTTTTACGAGATGATCTGACCGCCAGATGAGCTTACTTCTAGAGGCATGCACACATCGTTAATGAATCTGCATCACATCAACAACACCAGTGCTAAATCACAAATCCCACGAGTATTCGCTGTTTCGTCGTAATCTAAGAAAAATGATATCTAGTTGAAGCATGCAGTCAACTTGTGTGAGTGCCTAAACGCATGAGCATTTTGAATGAAGTATATTAAAGCGAACAGCAGTCACGATCCTCATTCCCTTATTACTGTCAGTGGTCATCTTGCCTGAACTTTAGTTTCTTTTTTTTGACAGAATAATGAACAGCATGAATAACAACTCAAGAACGTTAGTGACGCTAATCAATTATATTTTTGGTTCAGATACTCTTTATTTGATAAGTCATTCTTCGAAACTTGATAAAGCTGTGGATAAAGCTTGAGAGCAAGCTCATCTAATAGTCGAATCCGTGACCTTATTTAAGTAGCGAATGAAATTCGAGTAAGTTTATTGTTTATTCTATGCACGTATTTCAGACCCGAGTATGATTAATAATAGTGTTCAGATGATTGATGCTCATCGATGAGTGGCAAGCAGTCAGAAGGATAGAATGATGAATGTAAGCGTTTCGATTCAGTCCATCAAATTTTCGATTTTATTCGACAGCATGAATAATGCGTGTCACTCATTTCCGAAGAGATGTTTATTCACATAATTATTATCATCTCAAACGATCACGATTCCAGTTTATGTTTAGTGTTGGGCTTGCTTCACTGCCTACTTCTCGAGATTCTTTGCATCCGCATATAAATCCACTCTACGCCATTATGACCTCGACTCTATCCACTTAAACCACCAGGATTCTTTGCTCACGTTCGTATTTGTTTCAACTGTTTAGGCAGCTCAAGAACTGATGATCCTTCCGCCGGAAGGGATTTAGCGAATGCTAATCACGAGTCATGTCTTATCGATGACAAAATGAGAATTTGCTGTGTTTTTGTTGATTGTGATCATTGATCATGAATTGTGAAAGTCAGAGGTTTCGAATTATTAAATCTCTACCAAAAATTTCTTTCCGGAAATAACTTTTGATCAATAGTGATAATTTGCAACAATGCGATAAGTGTCCAATGTGCCAAATTCTCTATTTGAGGATAGAATTTTGATTTATGGATTGTGCACGAACCACTTACGTTAGTTTATTTTGGAAACAGAAAATTAACCGCATTAATAAATATCCCTCAGTATATCACCATCAAATTGAACACCTTAGCCAATTTTCGAATCAGAAACGAGTGGTGCAAAGAGTACTGATTGTTGGATGGCTGTAAATTTCGCGACTTCACTGAATTCGCTGACGATGATACTATTAAAATCGCTCAAGGTATTGGTATCTGTTCGATCTAAATGAATGAATGTAAAAATTTAATTTTGTTGAGAAAAAACTCTAACTGATCCAGTCCGAATACTACCTGATTATATCTTTTATTCATTTATTCGAAAATTTGTTTCAGACGTCCGAAGTAATTCTTCCACTTCCGAACTAATCGAAAAATTGCTCCGCAGATTTCCGGTTAATTGCGTATCGCAGAACCGATAAACTTCAATTGTTATGTCCACTTCAACACGTCTCCTAAGTAAGTGTGCCGTCGTTTCCATTGATTCGCTTTGCACCGTAAATTTTCTAATTTATTCTGATCATAATTTACGTTTTATATTTACAATTATCTGAATTGCGTTAACCACAATTAAGCGTTAATGAATGCTGTGCTTCATTATCGCACTGTCGCTCTGTTCATCCCTCGCTCGCGCAAACGAATTCGTTTCGAGTCTGCAACACGTATTGCTCTCAAATTGCATCAAATGGCTGTCATCTGATTTTTCACCAGCTAAATGAACTGATGAACATTGTATTCGCCATTAGCTTTTCCATGTGGAGATGCGTTTCACTCTAAACACTACTACTTCAAATGTTGAACCTTTGCTGCACAGACATCCTTCCAACCGCAGCATGAAAGCACCAACAACTCACATAACGCAGCCATAGCATCCTGCCGAACAGTTAAACTGAACAATTCACACTGTTCCCATATGGGGCCCTGGTAGCGCATAAAATGATGTGAAGGTTGATGATGAAATCGTATCCAATTCACGGTTTCAATACTTCGATCCGATTGTACCAATTTTCGGGGAAATCAGGGACAGAGTCCTTGAATGAAGTTAGTTAAAAGATCAGTGGGAGGGAGGTTGGTTTGACTATTATGAAAGAGTTAGCTGTAAGATTCAGGGAATGTCTGTCTCCCATTTATGTGTCCCTCAATGTGTCAATGCAGAAGTAATCGTAGATGTAAACGATGTCGTGGTTATATTATGTGTCTGGGATGCTAAGAATGTCGATCAGATTATTTGGATGTGATGTGATGCGATGTGACACGACGTGACGTGACGTGCGTGATGTGATGATGTGCCTTAAGGAAGCAGTATCGGAAGTCGTATTAAATGCCCAATAAAGCCACTCGCTTACTGGCATCCGTAAACTCATTCAATTAGTAGCATCAAATAATGAGTATGATCGCATCCCATCGTCCTCTTCTCTCATTCCTTTAAACGGCGTTTGATCAGTTCGTCGTCTCTGCTCCTAATTTAGAAATCTAATTGCATTTAAGCCTCGTCTAATCAGTGTCTTCTCTTATCTTCCCTGATTATGTATTAATTCATACTCCTCGATTGCATCGTTCCGTCAGTCTAGTCAATATTTGTCCATTATTATAATATTCATTCAAATTCAGCATTAAAATAGCAAAATGAGATCGTATTCAATCCAAACTGAGTGCTGAATGCTGTTCCAGTTGAACGAACACGAATAAGTGATCCATTGATAGAATAAACGTCTTTTGTTCCATTTCACTCAATGTTCTGCATGTCATTCTAAACTTAATGCAAGCAATTAAAATTTTCAGCTTCACAGCTCATATCTTCACAATCTTCAGGGCATACTTGAACAATTTCACCATTTTACTGATATTGAAATAAAAAACAATATCTTCTGTTGTGCTTTTCCCTTTTCCACTTGTCAACTTCGAAACGTTTCAATTAAAAGAAGCGGCGTTTAATTTTGTATTTGTGCTTAAAGCATCGGTTCAGTTTAGTTATTGCGACAGCGCAAGCGAAATGATGGTGACGATAATGATGAGGACGATGATGAGATATTTTTAATTAGGGAAGAACGGCTGAGTTACTTCGTTTGACGCTGAAAACCACCGGATCCATTTTTTAAAAAATTGAGGCAACCAGCATAACTCATTTAGAAATTCATTCTATTCCATCATCTCATTATCGCACATATCACAATATTATCGCAGTGCACACCACCACCAACAACAACACAATTGCTGTCCGATCACCTCGCAACGCTTTTCGTTCAATCTATCTATTGGCAGTTTCCAAGTTAATGGGATGCTTCCTGTTAACAATGTAAATTAAAAGCGAAAACTGTTCAATGTTAGATCCGATATTTGATCAAATGATTTCCTACTTAATGTCAGACATTCGAATCCTTGCATGAACATGCGCTGATTGCACATCCGAGAGTGATGTGCACTTCAGTGCCAGCAATTCCAGTCGCAGTGTTTTGAATCCTTCATATCTTTTATCCAACTGCAGACTACAATTGCGCATTTTGCAAATTTCCTTTGAAAAGAGATTTTCATTTGATTTCGTTCTCTTGATATGTGTATTTCCTCGACATTCAGTGAAAACTTCCCGTATTGCTTCACAACGCTAAATCGATAGGCTTCATGTCATTTTGATGTTAACATTTTTATATCTCCACTTCTACTCGAATGCATACATCGCTTATCTTCGTCATCTGCTCAGTCAGAGCAAGAATGTGCTCTGAGATTGTTTTTTCAACAACTCCAGTAACTTAATTTCTCGCATTTTGATATTGTGCCGTCGTTTTCGTTGAGATTTTGTTTGTGTTGGTGAAGGAGTGTTGAATACGTGATGAAATGCTGACTTTTGCGAGTTTTTGAGGGATTTTTCTTTGGTTTTGGCACTTAAGGAAATTGATGTTTTTGAAATTGAGTTACCGGAGTCGAGAGTAGTTCCGTACCTTGCAAATTAACGATAAAAGTGGATGCGCAAGATGAAAAGTAAACGATACTTCCTTCAGTGCATTCTCAACCGATCGGTGAAGAGATCGTTAGCTGAATAGTCGATGCGTTGATTGTGATCATTCGTGACATCTTAAAAGAACATTTGATTTCAGCGCCTAAAACTTCTCAGTGTGCATGCAAGTTCCTATGATAAGATAAGATTATGAAATTGATAAAATAAGACTATGAAATTGGTAAGTTACGATTATCGCGTATGACAGGTTGCGAAACCATTTGCCTGATTTTAAATTCACTGTGGTTGATCAGTCGAAAATGCAAATGCATCATCTACTGCTAGAATGTAGATTGTTAAGTGTAGAAAACGAGCATGGATTATTGTTATTGTTATTATTGAAGTAATTTAGACAGATGGATTTCATACAGATGTCATGTAAAAAATGCAGTGAACTAGTGAAAACTTAGTAGCACAATTGAACGTGATATTTTTAAGAGACGTTGCATCCATTCCCTTAGCAATTTATGAACATGTGAGCAAAGGATTGTAGTAAGTAGCATTAAGTCATCAAAATGATGCCTTTCATTCTATTTTTTCCTCTATGAAACCTATTTACTTATCAGTTCCAAACAAAAAGAACAACAATATGACTGTTCTTTCATTTGCAATGTTGCCTTCTGCATGTTTCGAATACCTCCATCAAGCATTTCCATCCGTTATCATAAGACAACTTGAATAGAGCAACAACTCTAATTGGCAACTATTGATCTAACGATGCATCTATCAGGTGTGCAATTCGACTCAACTTCGCATTCAATTTCTCATCGCAAACACTTCCAAGTCCCACATGTGCAAACTAAAGTCACGAACTGAACTTTCGCATCTTTGCTTATGTTACTTGCAAAAAGTAAGCAGCACTGACATAAGTCTATACCAATTTTCGCAGCAGTTAAACGTTAGACCTGATTGTGATCGATTTTTGTGATCAACTTCATGACAAACACATCATTCTGAGCATCAAAATTCCCTGAATCGAATTCCCAATTGGTTTCTTGTTGTTGGCGTTATATGAATTCAAAATCTTAAATGCGCAATACGCTTGCTGAACTTAACGCGCAATGAAGAATAACTGCTTACAGCTTGCGGAAGGTAGTTGAAAGCTTATGAAGGCAATCAAAAAGCAGCAAAAACAGAAATGAATGCATGACTATGTCGATGATGAATTGCTAGTTGAACATTGATTACGAGATACTCGCAGAACAAACAAAATGCGCTTGAAAAGCCCAACAAAGCCGTAATCATAACAACAATCACCACTAACAAAACCCAGCAAATTCATCCGCTAATTATGCACCAGTCACCACCAAATTCCAATTCAATCGCTCGTCACTGTTCTATCCCAGTTCTATTAACAGCTAGCTATACACTAACCGCTGAAGCCAATCACTCGTTTCATTTCTTGTTGCATCAATAAACCAACTGCTTGAATGAACTAAGGCAAAGCAGTTGGATCGACGTCGATGCCCAGGCTCTCCTTCTGCTATGGTGCCTTTTGGTTTTGGCTTTAAGCGATTTATGTGATTAGACTGCTGCATTCACTGATATTATGGGCTGGCGATGTTATGTCGATTGTTTATCGTTGTCGACAACAACTTTTTTATTGCTTGAATACGGATCTTGTTGTGGTGCGCCTGGCCTGGCCTCTTCGGCACATCTTCATATAATCGCACTTCTTTTCTTCATCCCCTATCTGCGCATATTACTTTACCCAACAAATGCTAGCTATATGTTTAAAACTAGTTGACGAGATAATGAGATAACTATCAGATTTCTTCAGCTGTGTTGTGGAGAACCGATAGTGATTGCGCTCAAAAATAGTCTGTTTGGCTGACTTGTCAAGCAGCTTTTTGTTGGAGGAGCGTACTCGCATAAAGTTTATTCGCCAGCACTAGCACAGCAATGTTTCGTGAATGCACTTTGATTGAATTATGAAGTTTGCCTCGAATGTTCACGCTCAAAATGACGTTCCCTACAAACAATATGCAGCGAAGCTATTGTTAAGAAATCGTTCGTGGTGTTTCTCCTTGCTTCCAGCCTCGTTCGTTTGTGACAACATCCCTAATAACCTCACTACCTACTCCCCTCAATATCAGCAGTAGTCTGCGTCTCACTTCGAATGTTCAAATGTTCAACCGCTAAAGAGCAAATTCCAACCAGAAGTCTTATTTTCGTCGATCGAATACTTCTCATCAGAAATCAGTTCATGACGCTTGATTATCCTCCCCACTCCAACCAACACCAGGCAACTGCAATCTATTTGAAACGCATTTTGTAATTTTGCAAGACTTTCTGCTGATAAACAGTGCTCATTAACAACTGCCTTCACTGCTTCCTGACAAGATGTATTTTCACAATTAATATTCTCACGGTTGCTTTAGCAGCATTCCTAAAACAACGTTTGAGCAACATCTGAGTGAGAAGACAGCATTTACAGTGACTAAAGCGGCCGTCATATCATCTGCAATGTTGGCACGGAAGAATTCAGCTCAACGAGGAGCGCTCAACACAACGCGCGACAGTATCGTTGCATTGGCCGATATCTTGACTACTGTAGAGACCAGTAAGTCTCGTTCAGGTAACACATCCCATCACATATTCTATTACCTGAAATCCAACTGGAATTTAGACGATTTTGTCGTTAAGAATGAATTTGACAAGTATTTACTAGGGCAGTGGTTCTCATAGGAGGTGAATTTACCCGTTTTGGGTAGTTTAGAGGTGTCAAGAGGTAATGGAGAGGGTCGGAGAATTGGTCTTTCGTACAGTTGCCATATTATGATATTCATTGTGATGGTGTTTTTCATCTCGGATATGTAGATGCGATTAGTTGATGGCAACATTCTTCATATTCTGAGTATCATTGGCTCGTTTTAACAGCATTCTCACTCTTTTCCGAGGTGTTTTAATCGTTCTTATACCATTTATCACCAAAATTGTTCACTTCTGCTAATTTCTCATTCATTTCACTCAACAGTTTAATTCAAATTCTCATTCTATTAGATACACTCTATAACTGATCGCTTGACTGTCGAACGTTGTTGAGCAATGATATTCGATTGTTGTATTGTTGACTTCGGTTGTCAATACTCTTCAACGCATTCAGTAAATAGTATATGCTACTGAATGAGAAATTGATTCGAACTGTGAAGTGAAATGAGACGAAATGAATAAGAAAAACTCATCAATAGAACAATATATGCATGAATTAGTCATGAGANGGGGGGGGGGGAGAGAGGATAACGGCGGCCTGCCAGATGCTAGATCATCAAAAGGGGTAATGGAGCACCCGAACGTGAGAACCACTGTTCCAGGGATGTCTTTTTTGATGACACTATAAGTATTGTCACGCAGCAATTGATAGGTTGTGAGCTGTTTTCAAGATACCGTAATTTTAAAACAACCATTCCAAAAAAATTTGATTCATGAACAGCTGGAGCATCTTCATTTCCTCTATGAAATCGTTCTTGTGTCGAAGCAGTGAGATTCAGTTTTTAGGAATGAAGGAAACTTTTAGGAATTACACTCATCTTTCAGACTTGCTGCAATCAGCTGCACTCGTTAGTGCACTTCGGATAGCCTGTGTGATCTCACTGATTACTGTCTGTGTTCATACACCCGTTACATTTCAATACTTTTGGCCACTCACCTATGTGGTTTTCATAATGGATTTCATTTCGACTTTTATCCTGACCACCGAAGCAATCATTCGAGTGAAGGTCTATGGAACGTTTTCGGTCAGTTGTTCGTTGAGAATTATTTACATCGTATCCGATACATCAAAATCTGATATACTACTTGTATGATCTCTGTCTGATCTGAAAAGTTTTCATTTTGGCGCATCAAAATCGGACAATTTATTAGCGGCTAATGAATTACTGAATTGCAGCGGAGCGAGTCATATTTTCGTGACAGATGGTCACAGTTCGATTTCTTTTTGCTTATTTTCCATTGGCTGTCGTTACTGCTGCATGCATATGAGCGAATAACGAGATTTTTCCCGTGGATGGGTTTTGTGTATCATGAATGGTGAGTGGCAGTGCTGATATTGTCATATGTGGTCATGTCAACGGCAATAATACAAATCTAGCCGTGCTCCTTGTAATTCTGACCTTTCACAACGGAAGTAGCGAATCTAAAACGATAATGCGGAATCGATGCTGCATCGTTACGAAACGAGATATGTAATGTTAGGCATACGATTCACTCCTAATTTAAGCGCTGAACTAATGAGGCGTTGGCAAGTTCAGGTATGGTGTGATACGATGTGTTCGTCCGTTGATCATAATTCGATTGATAAGACTTGTTGTTAAGTTCAAGTTGCCTAAAAACCGAATTCAGCAATTATTGAAGTAAGTGCTGAAAATTATGAAATTTATTAGCGAATCGCATTGCTTTGAGATTCAACACCAAACATTTTTTGTAATGCAATGAACTTGTCGGAAAGTGGTGATAATTGTTATCGAACACTTCATGAGCACTAGAATGCAGCCATTCTTATTATTGATACACGACTTAGTGCATAAACGTTAAGTGAACTGTATTGTTCAACCTTGAATAGAGCACAGAGTGCATGTAAATGTTCGCGATTAAAGCACACAAGTTGTCTCACTGTTTTGCATCTTATCGTTAAATGAATCGCCACATCCATATTCATTTCCAGGCGATCGAGTCAGCAAGTTCAAAATGTTACTACGTTTTTTGTTTTCTTTATGGCGCTTTATGCGATTCTTGGAATTCAGGTATTTGGACGAATGGACTATCATTGTATACTAAAAGGTGATTCTCTCGTTTCATCGATAAAATTTCTCAGTGCAACAGTTTCTTTGACTATATCAAGACCCATTCGAAGTGAGCAATGTTTGCGGAAGTTACTTCAGACGAATTAAGAACCAACGAGAACAATCAGCTTCAATAAAGCACTGAGCAATAGAATTTGGGTGCGTAAAAAGTCAGAACTGAGGGTCGTTCGCATATGAGAATGACAACGATGAATTGGATTGCGATGGATTTAACGAACATTTTTAGATGCTGATCCGCGTAATATCTCGATCGCCGACTTGGCGATTCCGGATACGATGTGCTCGATGAAGGGTGAAGGCGGTTATGAATGTCCGGATAATATGGTCTGTGAAAAGATCAAAATGACCGCCAAAGAAGAAGGATTCTATGGAATGTTCAATAATTTTGGTGAATAGTTGATCGAAATACTTTGGAAATGATGAATTTATTGTAAATTCTCAACAAATTTCTATCGATGGACTATTGATCACATAACTGTTTCTGTTATTGAGCTTTTCGGTTGAGATTTCATTGCTCATGTCGAGATTGATTGACTGATAACGACCACCACCAACTATGTGACGTTTCTCGTCTTAGTATAAAATATCACGCGAACACTTCTGGAATTTGAGGTGCGAGCGTTTTCACAGTTTATTTGGCAGCATCAGAAGAAGGATGGGTTTATGTACTGTACGACTGTATGGATTCATTGCCGTCCTATTGGGCATTTCTTTATTTCGTCACTCTGATCTTCTTCCTGGCTTGGTTGGTGAAGGTATGACATCTTCTCAAATGGATTGTACACATGCTCCAACTCATTCGCGGTTTATTATGCGAGGCACAGTTGATTCAGTTTAATTCTATCACAATTTATTTTAACAGCTACTGTTAATTTCACGTTTAATTCCAGAACGTTTTCATCGCAGTGATCACAGAAACATTCGCCGAAATCCGTGTGCAGTTCAGTGAAATGTGGCAGAAAACAGACGTTACCTTCGATGATGGCTTGAAGCAGGTATAATGCTTCTCATCGAGACCTTGTGCGATGCAACGCGAGCATTTCCACTTACAATCAGTTTTTATTTGCATGACGGCTACGTTGATCAAAAGATGCAAATGTTGACGTTGTTTGATGAATTAGAGTGCTCGTGTAATGAGGAGGATTTTTCAGAAATTAGAAATCACTGAGGATGGATGGAGATTAGTGAAATTCGATTCAGAACTAAACAGGAAAGGCGGTGGACCTATTGAGCTTCAGCAGGTAAGTGGTGTGGCATTTGCGTGAGCCACTTTCTCGACACGAGACGAATGAGCAACTGAAATCGATTTCAGATTCTGAGAAGTACCGCATTTCAATGCTTCATAACAGGAATTGTCTTGATCAACGCCGCAATTAACGCATCGTTCGTTTACTATCACAATGAAAGTGATTCAACGCGCAGACATCTATACAGATACGTTGAAGTAGATCACTTTATTTATCATTTAATTCCGTTTATTTCTTCATCCAAGTCGGATTTATCATCGTGGTGACTTTCTCAATATCACCTCAATGTCTTCGAATACCTCATACCATTCTCAGAAGTGATTTTGGACGAATTTCTGAATTTCGTCAAAAACAGATAATTTCAACAATATCACAAATGATACGGCCGATTGGTATTTTTTATACATCGAAGAAATGATCACAACAATAAATCCTTTTCACCAAACTCAGTTTCTGTAAGCAAGTTGATATACGCTGGACGTTTTCAGACAGGATTCACGATTCTGTTCAACATTGAATGCATTGTGAAAATATTTTGTTATGGTTTCCGTGGTTTCTTCAAACGACCCATATACAAATTCGAGCTCATTCTTTGTATCGGTTCTACACTGAACATCGTTCCGTATTTGTATGAACGCAACTATTTCACAATATTTCAAGGATTTCGATTACTCCGTCTTATTAAGGCATCGCCGATACTTGAGGATTTTGTTTATAAGGTTCTTCTCAATCCGTCATTCAAATTTCCCATGAGTTTCAATTCTATCGTAAAAAAATAATGATGTGGAAGTGAAGGGATTTTCGAACCTCAGCGCGTGATGCAGTAAGAGTTCGAAGATATTCATCTTAATAACCGTCAGTACTACTGATGTCATATTATTAATAAATGAAAAAGAAACAGTATTTATCAAACTGTCATCAAAGTCTTTGAATGGTTCATTGCAGATATTTAGTCCTGGCAAGAAACTGGGTGGACTTGTCATTTTTACAATAACCTTTGTGGTCATATGCACTGCAATCTCACTGCAGCTCTTTTGTTCTGTACCAAAATTGGTTTATTTCAAGACGTTCCCACAAGTTAGTTGTATCTTGTAAATGTTCTCGTTACGATCACAAATCTAGAATTAATATTCAATATCTCTTTACGTAAAACCAATCCATAAGCGCAAATGCATTAGGGAATTGACAGCAAAATTTCGAAAAAGCAACATAATATCTATTTGGATTCGTTGTCAGAACTGTCATTCAAATGAGTATCGATTGTTGATGCGGATAAAAAGGGCTTAGACGTGGCGATGCAGACGATAAAGTTGCTCTCACTTGCATATTTCATAACCTCCAGTGTATATTTCATCTACTGCAGTGCGTAAATTAACAAGATATACAGATCTCACATTCACATTCAGTATTTAAATGGCCTGGCTGTTACTACCTTCTATATAACGCTTTGCAACAGAGGCATGCAGAAATTTCTCATTGATGACTTTATTCCCCTCAGACAACTGGGAATTCAGCCTACATTCTGTTCGAACCACAACATCCAATCGACTTTGATCGAACCCGTGTTTAGTAGATCAATGATGATCAAACATGTATTTAGTAGTTCAGGGGTTCCCACAGAAGGGAAATTATCCATTTTTGGGTAATTTGGGAATGTCAGGGGGTAATGGGAGGATCGTAATAAGGACCTGCCAGACCATCGAAAGGGGTAATGGAGCATGGACCACTGTATTAGTTACTATACTAATGGGTTGGTTTTTTCAAACAGTTTTTACCACTTTGCATTTTGTGGTCATCTATACAAATTCGTAAATCAACCTCAGCCCCGAGCATGACCAAACCAATTAAACAGGTTTTGTTCAATAGCCTAGCCTAACCCTAACTCTGAAATAATCACCTGAAGAGCGAGTTTGAATATCTTAAGCATTCTCTCAGTAGCTACTAATGAGATTGAGCGGACACAAGATACCAAGTGATTGCATACAGGCGTTCATGGCGATGTTTCAAATAATCACTCAAGAAGGTTGGACAGAGTTCGTGGTTGAGGTGTTGCGTATGATTGATGACAATATGGTGCCGTTCGTGGCGATTTATTTTGTTGCGTATCATTTGTTCTGCACGTTGGTGAGTTGTGCATTGAATTCGACTCCCTTTCAAATCTCCACATTATTGTCGCACTCAACGGAGTCAGAAGGGTTTGCTTGAGGATAAGATAAAAAATTTACAAGTAGAGAAGTCACATTCTTTGGGTGTTCTATGATGCCTTGAGAACTCAGTTCTTTTTGTATGTTCGTAAGACGAGGAACAAAAGAAGTTGAGAATGAACTAATTGCAAGTGCATTATCCTGATACCTCGTTAGCAGTGATCGCTTTGATTCAGATCGTGCTGAGTTTATTCGTAGCTGTTATTTTGGACAATTTGGAGATGGATGAAGAGCTGAAACGAGTTAAACAGTTAAAAGCGAGAGAAGCGGTGAGTTCACGATGAAATCCCTGCTCCGATTAGCATTCTAATGGTATCACGATATGAAGACGACGGTATCGCCTGCCTCGTTCTTACTGATAATAGTCGTTCAGTACATGACCAAACCAAATAAACAGGTTTTGTTCAATAGCCTAGCCTAATCCTAACTCTGAAATAGTCACCTGAAGACCGAGTTTGAATATTTTAAGCATTCTCTCTAGCTACTAATGAGATTGAGCGGATACAAGATTCTTCTAAGTAATTGCATACAGGCGTTATGTGAATTTGTTGTAGTTGAATTATGAATAACAAAATAAAAGAATTTGAAGCGAAAGTATAATGTTTGATGATGTAGACCACAACAATGCGCACAACTCTGCCGTGGCGATTACGAGTCTTTGAGAAATTTCCTGCAAGACCAGCAATGGTTGAACTGAAAAGAGTGGACAACGACTTCCCTCTACCGAAAGTGCGTGATAGTTTCACACATCAGTTTGCTACGGTCCATAACGACAACAATCCTGAGGATTGTGCAGGTACGAGCATTGCTTGTGTGTGCACTCACAAATAATATTTGCAATGTAATGAATTTTTCTCTAAATATACTTTTTGCAAACTCAGATGCGTATTTATCATAGTAATGAGCGAATTTTGAATGTAGAATCTAAATTTCCAGATTCAACAGTAACAAAATCGGTTATGCAATCCGTGCCTTTGTTGCGTCATCGGCGAAAGAATAAACCGATTATTCGTCATGTTGGACCAATCTCGCTGAAAGCCAGCATTTCAACAATAGTCGAGTTCGGTCACTTCCCGTTCTCTGAATGTTACTGTGTTTCCAACTGATCTATTCTTTAGAGTATTTCATACTGAGTTCAGTCTGACTGAATCAAAGGTTGTTTGTGGTAGCGATTTCAAAAATGCTGAACTTATTGAATTTCTTAATCTAGCAGAAATCGCATTCAATCACATTTCATTAAAATGGTACTGCCATAGACATGAATTGACTAGCCCTGAATTTTTCGATTCTCGGTCTTTCAGAGAATCGAACCGAAATCGAGCCACCAATCCAGATACGTTCACATTCGCCACTCATCTGAATCGTGTACCAACTCGATTATGGCGGAAAGAGACTCAGTGAGCGATTCATTCTAATGACTGATCCTAAAATGTTTCATAATTAAAAGTGGTGCGCTCAACTTCAGACACAAAACAACGCCCACACTGGCAAGAGCCAAGCAAATGCTCATCGAGAAGATGACTGAAAATGGCGATGTATTAAGACATCCGGATACTGCACCGAACAAAAGTCAAAAACTTGGTGAAATTGATATAAGAGCATTGCAACAAAAACGGCATATGGCCGAAATGAAGAGGTTAAACCGTCCCATTCTTTATCGTATCCCATTCCTCATCTCACAAATCGCAACAATATAAAATAATTCCGTTCCGTTCCATTTCTAAAGCTCTCCCTCATTATTTTTGAGCAGACGTTTACATGATCTGCTCAAGATACCTGCTGCATCAATATGCAATTTCATTGGTAGACATCAGTTGGATTCCTATGCAAGTCGCCTTATGCACGTTCTAATGAAACAATGTTGCATTAGAGCAGTGGTTCTCATAGGGGGTGAAACTACTCATTTTGGGTAATTTGGAGGTGTTAAGGGGTAATGGAGGGGGGGGGGCGCGAAATCGTTACTACGTGCAGTTGTTATGTTATGACAGAAAGCCATTGTAATGGTGTTTTTTATAACTCGGGTATGTAAATTCGGTTAGTTGATGGCAACATTCTTCATTTTCTGAGTATCATTGGCTCGTTCTTACAGGATCTTCATCCTTTTTGGACGTGTTATAATCGCTCTTATACCTTTTATCACTAAAATTGTTCTCTTCCGCTAATTTCTTATTCATTTCACTCAACAATTTAATTCAAATTCTCATTCTATGAAATAAACTCTATAATTGATCGCTTGACTGTTGAATGCTGTTCAGCAACAACATTCGACTGTTGTATTGTTGACTCCGGCTGTCAACACTCGTCAACGTATTCAGTAAATAGTATATGCTACTGAATGAGAAATTGATTCGAACTGTGAAGTGAAATGAGACGAAGTGAATGAGAAAAAGTCATCAATAGAACAATATTCGCATGAAGTAGATATGAGAGTGAATAGAACGTCTGAAAAGAATGAGAATCCATCCAAAACAGTTTGAAGTGAGCTGGTCATAGGACAATAGCTTTTCACGATTTTTCGTTTGTTCCTGACGTTATACATGGAAGTAATAAGTTCTTGCATCAGGTGAAGGGAGGGGGGGAGGGAAGGGACGGCGGCCTGCCAGATCCTCAAAAGGGGTAATGGAGCACCCAAACGTGAGAACCACTGCATTGTAACGACGAAATGATGAGGGGAACGCCTTTGATGAGTAATTCTGAAAGAAGAAAAACGACTTCAGAAATCGCATTGAAGAGGATCTAAGAGAGAATCATTTGCTTTTCGATCGACCGTTATTCCTCATTGGACGGGACTCACCAATACGTCGTTTCTGTAAGAACATCGTCTATGCGAAGTATGAGGCAGAAATCGAAGGGAACGGTACCGGGAAACCACCGCGAAGATATAAGGAACTTCAGTATGTTATCACTCACTTTTATTGGCATCTTATGGTAAACTTTATTATTTATTCGTCCTGATAGGTTCAGTTCTCTGCAGTATAGAAATGGTAGAATTCAAGCGATCTTTTGAACTGAATCGGTAAAATTGTTTGGCTGTTTGAGCCGTATTCAGGTACCCAATCAACGACGTTTTTGTCGTATTTCAGCACTCTCATTGGTCTCATGACATATCTCGATTGGACGATGGTTATTGTAACAGCACTGTCATGCATATCGATGCTTTTCGAAAGTCCTTGGCCAACAACAGGAGAAAATCTTGTGTTCAACAATTTTTATCTGCAGGTTGCTTGTTTCCCGGAATATTCCCTACATGAGTTCTGAGAGCTTTTATATCGTTATTTGAGAGTTATGTTTTTCGATTCCTTTATCATCTTCGAACACCAATTTTAAAGCAATGATCGTATTATGTATTATATTCAAGCAGTACTAAAACTGTTGCGAAGCAATCTACTTCCTGATAGAAACAGTTATTTGAGGGCAGATTATTGCAGCCTATTCACACCAAAAATTCGACCATATCTAGTGAATATAATGAATCGTGTTCGTTTCGCAGATTATGGACTACCTGTTCGTTTTATTCATGACCTTTGAACTTGTTGTGAAAATACTCGCAAACGGATTGTTCTTCACGCCGAAAGCAGTGGTGCGAGACTTTGGTGGTGTTATGACGATGTTTATTTATATTGTAGGTTCTCATTTGTTATCTCATTCATGAGTAACTTTCAACTTTTTGTTGTCCGAATCTTGATTCTGCTTTCGCAAAATCACTCCATAAAATACTTTTCTTTTACCAAGTTTTCTGAATGCAGTTTGTGCTTATCAATGGTTATTACCATGAGGAAGTGCACCTACCAATGACTTTGGAAAATATATCAAAGATTAAAATTATCTCAATTGAAGTCATTTTATGAAATAAAACGTTATTTCAAGCGTCCTATGTTATCGAATGCTATAAGTGGAACGTTACTGTCATATGATATAGTTGATGACTGATATTTAGTCAGTTTCTGAAAAGTTCACTTCAGACTTCAGTTGTGTTCTTGCTTCATATGCCGACGCACGTCGAAATCAACTCTCTCAATCAGTTGCTGTTGATTTTCCGAGCAATGAGGCCGTTACGAATCTATACACTTGTGCCTCATATTCGGCGAGTTGTCGTCGAGCTGTTTCGTGGATTCAAAGAGATTTTATTGGTGAGTGAGACGAACATATACCTGGTAATCAGACACTTAACAGAATTGTTCTTTGTTCAGGTGACAATTCTATTAGTGGTCGTGATGTTTGTATTTGCAAGTGTTGGAGTGCATATTTTCGGTGGCAAATTAGCCGCTTGTAACGATCCTTTGATTAAGAATCGTGTAAGTTATCGCTTTGTATTTGTTGACTCCATCGCTTGCCAATCTCATCTCATTTGCCATACGAAAAGCGTAAAACTCAATATTCGGTAATATGTGGTTGACTTTGAATGAATAACTTATCTGATCGATAACACTATTAAAATGGAGATCTATTGGTTGAGCATTATGAGGAGCTGGAATTTCCATGCGATTTACATCTTAACAGTAGGTGAGCTTGTTGTATGCGATGGTAAATGTTTTTTTTTTAATGTGCACCACTTTAAGGAGAATTGTACGGGTGTGTTTTGGCAGAAAATATTTGTGACGCGATTGGATGTGTACGGAAAAAATGATGATGAATTACATCCATCCATTCTGGTCTCGAGAGTTTGGTAAAACATTTGGCAGTTCACAGATAAATGTTTGCACCGTAGGAGATAGAAAATGTCTTCATTCACTTCTTTTAAATTATTCTCACTGATATGTTGAGGACCAATCCGAGAAACTTCAACTTCGATCATGTTGGCAACGCAATGTTGGCTTTGTTCGAGACGTTGTCTTATAAAGGCTGGAATGTAATTCGTGATATTGTATGGCAACGTGTTGGACCGGTATTCATTTAATCGCTTCGGTTTGCTGACAATTATCTTGAGCAGTTTGTTGAGTTTATTCGAATACTTCGTATTATTTCAGTGGGCAGTTGTCTTCATTCATATCTACGTATTTATTGGTTGTATGATTGGGTTAACACTGTTCGTTGGTGTTGTAATCAAGAATTACACTGAAAATCGAGTAAGTTTGAGGATTTTAGGTGTGCTTCTCGAATCATTTTGGAGGGTGAGATCAGAAAGCGATGAGTTCATAAGCGTTTAACATTACATTGCAGGGAACTGCCCTATTGACGGTTGATCAACGTCGTTGGCATGATCTGAAAGCTCGTCTCAAGATGGCACAACCGCTGCACGTTCCACCGAAACCATCTGAATCCTCAAAACTGCGAAATCGTTTTTATGAGCTTTCAATGAGTCGACCCTTTAGTCAGGTGAATTGCGGTGCTCAAATAACGAATTTCCTATGATCCTATTTCGATTCCACTCGAGAACAAACTAACAATCGAATACTTCTTCAAAACTTATCGCATTAATCTGCAGTTCCTCAGTGAGAAGTTAACAACAGAGCGATTGTTCTCACCCTCTTTCAGTCAATCACACATCTGGGCTAAGATCGCAGCGAAATCACCTCCGTCTCCATCTACAATAACTTCATCATTACAGTAAAAATCGCTTTCAAAACAGAAATAGGCATAGCAATATTTTAAGAAATCTATTTTGTTTCATTAAAATCACTCTTTGTAAAAGACATTTTTGCACATTAATAGACGAAATTGCCCAAGTTTTCAATAGAAAATCATGTAGATCAATTGCTAGCAACAGTAAACAAGATGCATTCCATTTCAGATCTTTGGTGCTTTGGTAGTCATAAACTCTGCAACACTTTGTATCCCGTGGAGTGTGGAGGAGGAAGCCGAAAGACATGAAAATGATGACGATTACAAGCTTTTCTTCGCAACCGCTCTATCAGCAATCATAAATATTCTATTCGCTGCTGAGGTGCCGACAGTACTTGTTGATAAATTACTGTTCTTCAGAGAAATTAGGAGATTAGCATAAAATTGTTCACGTTCGATTATCTGTTGCCATCAAATTTTTTGATACACTCCATTTCGACAGCTACCATCACAAACAATTTCAGTGCCTATTGAAAATGTTCGCATTCACAATTCACGGATTTTGGCAGAGTCGAAGGAATCGTATTGATCTGTTGATCACCGCACTCGGCTTGTTCTGGGTGGTGGTGCACTTCTTCATTGCACTTCCTGCCGAGAAGTTCAGTAAGGAGGCAAAGCTGAAGGAGTTCACATATACGTTTGGATACATCATCGTTATTCTTCGATTCTTCACAATAGCCGGTTGCTTATTTTGCATTCCATTAACCAGAAATTCATGTTAATCGGAATGAACATCTGAGTTCAGTTGATCATACAATATCCCCTCACTACAAGATTTAGGAAATCGGGAATTTGCCAGTAATTCGGGACTCTACCCTCAACACATTGGTAAATCGGCAATCAAATCGAACTGTTAGAGTCATTATTAGTTCGAATTTGAAGAAGAAGGCAGGAAATCGCTAGTTCCATACTCGCACCGTTGCATCTTGAAAGTTGTTTTTCCATTGCCTTCCTCTTTTCATCTGATCCAACTCTGAAGTGACGACATTTCACATTATCTCATCCCACATTTCGTTGTCCTGGGTCATCTTCTTCCGATATCTCTCTAATTTTCATACCATGGGATTTTTGTACGTTTAAGATGGTTTTTATAGTGGTCTTTCAATTTTTTTTTTGATCGGTAGATGGCAATCGAGTATTTTTACACTCTTATGCCACCTTGTTTTCGACAAACACCTGAATTTCCTTTGGAATTTTAATTCTATCACGTATTCGAAACCTGTTCTATCTTAATTTTTCATCTTCTGATATTCCATCAAAGCATTGAGCCTGATCTGTGGTATAGTCGTTTGGAAAATTACAATGCTGTGTTCAGGTAGAAACGGCACGTTGAAAATGTTGATGCTAACCGTCGTGATGAGTATGTTTCGAAGTCTATTCATTATAACTGCAATGTTTCTATTCGTTTTGTTCTACGCGTATACTGGTGTTATTCTCTTTGGCATGGTCAAGTATGGCCAAGCTGTATCAAAGTTTGTTTCATCTTCAATTTTTTTCATCTAGATGTGGCACTTCCCATCAGTTATTGTTATTCTTCGACAAATTCTCGCGGTCACCTCATAATCACTGATTTCGATCTTTTCCAATGCCCCAATAGACGATTCACAAATGTTTTCGTTAACTTTCAGACATGTTAATTTTCGCACGGGTTCAGAAGCCATGGTTGTTCTGTTTAGAAGTATTACGGGTGAAGATTGGAATGATATAATGCATGATTGTATGGTGAGCGTTTACAGTTTTCCTTTCGCTTGTATATTAGGTTCGGCGTCTTAAATTTGGTATGAAACTTACGAATTCTAATCAGGTCAAGCCTCCCAAGAAAATGTCAGTGAAACAGATCATTCGGAATTTTGTCAAACTGTTAGAAAGTATTGTCTGATCACTCATGTTATATCCAAACTTTTATCATAACACTGATGCAATAAGTGCATCTCATCCGTATTTTCATCGTTCATTTTGTTCCGCAGTGAATCCATTTATCTGACATAACCTTTGTCAGTGATACTGTTCATAATGTTTCAGCGAAGTCCTCCATTGTGTTATTGGGCCGAAGGCGCAAATTATTGGGAGACCGATTGTGGAAATTACTACGGAGCGATTATATATTTTTGTTCATTTTATGTTATCATTACGTACATTGTTAGAAATCTTCTGGTGGGTTAGTTATTTAACAGTGTTGGTTGATGCGATGGTATTCACTCGGACTGTTGATGCAGTTTCATTTCATGTGCAATTATAACTCATAGCACACGAGTGAATAGCACGAGTTCTCAATTTCAGCCATCATTATCGAGAATTTCTCATTGTTTTATTCAAGCGAAGAGGACGCACTGCTCAGTTATGCAGATATTCGAAACTTCCAAATTGTATGGAACATGGTTGATGTCGAACAGAAGGTTCACTAATTCTCTAAATTCTCTTTGCGTTAAATCCGTCTTGTCATCATAGTCTGTAGATTTCATTTGTCTGATCAATTGTGCTATTTCGTTCTTGGTTCCCACCAATTTGACCGCATGTGAAGTTAATATTTTCACAATGAACTGATCTATCGTTTTCTAACTCAAATTGAATCCTACAATTCTATTTTACCATATGCATGATAAAAAATCTAGGTTTTCGACACCATATTGTATGGTGATCAGCTTCCGAAAGTAATGTCAGTAACTTGATGTATCTCTTTGTGAGAAATTCGATTTATTACAGCGTACAATCCCAGTGAGACGAGTAAAATTTCTGCTGCGATTATTGAAGGAACGCCTTGAGGTTGATCCAAATAAAGATCGATTATTATTCAAGCACATGTGCTACGAAATGGAACGGTTACATAACGGTGATGATGTTTCATTCCATGACGTTTTATAGTGAGTTTTGGCTTCATCGAATTATACTCGTATCTCTCAAGTGATTCTATTTCAGCCTAAGAAGTATCATGGGGAAAAGCAAAAAAACTGCCTGGGACTAGGTCATTTGACTTGATGATCACAGATCATTTATATTGGTTCTATTGTCGTAAGTAAGTATAATTTCTATTACAGTATGCTATCATATCGAAGTGTTGATATAAGAAAATCGCTGCAATTAGAAGAGTTGCTTCAACGAGAAGAAGTCGAATACATAATCGAAGAAGAAGTCGCTAAACAAACGATACGGACATGGCTCGAAGTTTGTCTCAAGCGAATGCGCACACCATCGCAGGTCAGTGCTCTTCTTAAAGAATCGCACTCCCAAAACTCAATTTTCCTTTCTGATTATTTGGTAATTTTCATAATTTTTTGAATTCATTAATTTATATCTATTCATTTATATCCTACTGAAATTCCAGCAGGTTTTCGTTCTAAAATCTTCAATATTTCATTCAATCTTCTGTCTTGACGACTGATTTTATTCAGTGAACGGTAATATGGTTGCTGTATGAAATTGTTGATTGAATAATATTACTGAGCAAAAGGTGAATAATTTTCAGAAGGGTTCCGTAAGTGGCCCAGCGTCAATCACTCGTGGAGGTACCACCCAGTCGTCTGTCGTGAGCGGAGCAGTGAGTCAGCATTTGGTAAGTTCACTATACAATTAGTAAAACTTTTTGTTGAATGATGACCTCAATCCAGAGGATCTGATCCGAAGAACGAAAACAACTAAAAGCCTAGAAGCAAACTATTTCCTGCAAGAATACTGCAAGATGTCTCATTGACAGTGTCAGGATTGAGTCCAATGCGAATTCATTGCTTCAGGTAGAGCCACAACTGATCGTTAGTAAAGTTGATTTAATCGAGCCAATCACTATGCAAGATCAGTCTAATCTGGGAGCAGACGATGGCTTAGTGGAGAAGAAGAATAAGAAATCAACCGGAGGAAGTCGAAGTAGTATACCCGATTTAATGGTGATAGTATATCTGATATTATTCATCTTATACTATAAAAACTCGAGCCATTAAAACAACTCATGCTACTGATTAATAATGATGAGTCTTCTCTTATTGTTAGACTGTTGAGTTCCAGAGTATTGCAATTGAATGTGATTGCATAAAAAGCAATTGTCTATGACACGATTCTCATTCTTTTCAGACGTGTTCTATTCACTCTCATAGCTATTGCATGTGGATACCGTTCTCTTGATGAGTTTTTCTCATTCATTTCGTCTCATTTCACTTCATAGTTCGAATCAATTTCTCATTCAGTAGCATATACTATTTACTGAATATGTTGTCGAGTGCTGACAGCCGAAATCAACAATACAGCAATCGAATGTTATTGTTGAACAACATTCAACAGTCAAGCGATCAATTATAGAGTGTATTCAATAGAATGAGAATTTGACTTAAACCGTTGAGTGAAATGAATGAAAAATTAACAGAAGAGAACACTTTTGGTGATAAAAGCTATGAGAGCGATTGTAACAGTAAGGAAAAGAATAAAAACCCTGTTAAAACGGCATTCAAAGACAAATGGATGTAATTTCGATGTTGCCATAACAACTGCACTAAATACTAATTTCCCTTCCTCTCCCCTTGACACCTCCAAATTACCCAAAGCGAGTAATTTCACCCGCTATGAGATCCACTGATCTAAGGGAAATGAAAGAAGATCAATAAAGTAGTTTTCCGTTTCAGTCGAGTAATATTTTTCAAGAGGCCGCCAAGAAATTCATGCTTGGTGGAGCACACAAGAAATCAATCAGTGCGTATCTTAATAAGATATCAGATACGGAAGCAGCTCAGAAACAAGGTGAATGAATTGATGAACTGAACACCTCCAGATGAGATACAAACCACCGTTGCATAAAGAACTGTTCCATAATTTTCAGGACCGATATCGAGACTCGCTGCTGCAGCACGCTTGACGTCGCAGAAAGTCGAGAGTCGTATTTCACAGCACAAAAGCTCATATGTAAGTTATGTTCAGTCTGATCATATGTCGATCGGTTTTTTTGACAACGTGAAGTGTTTTTTCATTGATGAATGCAAAAGTCATTCACGAATTTTACTCGACTATTTGATTCGTTAATAATACAGCAAAAATAATCGCATAATTTCACGAAATCAGAACCATCATCTTGGATCGTTGCATTTGTTCATAAATGTTAACCTATTCTCAAAAGTTTCTCACGAATATATTCAGCACGCACCTGCGGGTTTATCAGAAGTTAATGAGTTCGGGGAGGAAGGTGGACTGAAATCACAGCGAAGCGAGTACTACGGACAACGTCGTTTATCGGTTCCCGATATCTCCAGACCGAGTATCGCACATTCAGGTAATTTATCGGTGATCGAACTTTTTTTCTGTGCTTTTGATATACTCTGTAGTGGTTCAGCTAATCCTGATCAGGCTGCAGCTTACCAGTTGAATTTTATTTTATACCACTAATTTCAATAATATTCTTGGAATCGTTGTATGTTCGGACGAGACATTATTGTTATTCTACTCATGTGCATTTGACGGCGAGCATTGTGGGTGCGAGGATTTTTCTGAGGGACCTGCGGAGGGCGGTGGGTTCCCCTGTGACTTATCGCGGTGTTTTATGCCCCACGGGAGACTTTTGTGTACATAGGTCCTCGCGAGTGCATTTGCTGGGAGGATTGGTGCAGATTTGGAATAGCAGTTTATATGACTGTTTGTTATTACAGTAGATAAGGATGTATTTCGATTGGGTGCACAACTGAAGCAAACACCTGCAACGATCGCAAATCCAGCGTTCATACATCTGGCAATGATCGACGAGTCGTTGCAGAAGGATCGAATCAACGATGTGAAATGGTGGTGGAGAATTGTTGATGTGGAGTGATTGCTGATGTAAAATAAAGATTATTTCTACTTTCATTCATTCTCTCTTCACTGACGGCACATATAGGCTGTAGAGGGCAGTTGAAGGATGTTACGAAGCGATGCGGTTAAAAAGGAATCTATTTCCCTAATAATGTGAACCGTTGTAATGTTTATGATGATTCATAAGTCAACTCGTGAATTTGTTGTCGCGCACCACCTGAACGACCAATTTAGCAACTCACTCATATTACTAACTCCTTGATTACATCTCATTGTCAGACTGTCAACGAAATGCCCATGACGAATACTTCATATAAACGCATTGTTACAGAGCAGGAATGCGATGCGATGAACAATATTTTATCAAGCACTGCAATCTTGGAAATCGACGAATTGAGATCATGAAAATAATAAATGAAAGCTTGAGAATATGACAAAAACATTCTACAGACATATGAACAATACAGATTCCACGGAGAAATTAACTTATTGTGATCTTATTCAATCAGTGATTCGAATGAATCTAAACTGGTGTTGACACATCTAAAGTCTCAACGTAAAACAAAGCTCAGGACAAGATATAAGATTTAATCAACAATTACAATAATATTTGATTACAGCGTTTATGAAGAAATTTGAATGAGCTAACATCATCACATGGACCGAATACGATGAGACAGAATGCGAACAAGATAATTATCTTGAAACCATAATAATGATCAACAGAGCATTTCCTCAATAAAACAATGAAATGGGCACTAAAACAATGAGGCACCATACAGAGGAAACGACAGAATCGATTTGTGAACCACCAAACAATTCAAACACTAACATTTGTTAATATATAGAAAGTTAATTTCTTAATTCGTTAACGTTCACGCTCATCATTTGATTCTATTCAATTCTCCTCATTCCAAATAATAACAAGAATGATCCTCGCATAGTCATTCTTATGAGTCTTTCATATTATACGACATAACAAAGAAAGGTCACACTCGTACAGATGTTTTTAAATACACTTTTGGAGAGGAGTCAATTCATAATGATCAAATTAACGGAACGATCAAATTCAATTAAACACAAATGAATTAAATCGATCACTTCTGCAGAAGATCAGATAGAAGCACGTATAAAATTAAACACAACATGAACAGGAATGAGTTTTAATATAAATACATCGAATATATACATAAACAGATATAAATAGACAACAACGAGGCATTATTCAGTACTGTAAAGCAAAAACACCTACGTGTTTGCAAGCAATAAAATGAAATGCTTCTTTGATAACAACTGTAATATTACAGATACAATGCGAACATCAAAATTTTGACAACATCTATAAAAATTACAAACAACAACATTTCCTTTTCAGATATTTCAACATCGATAAGACCATTATTCATAAAATCACGATTCTTGCCAGAATATCGATAAGACCAAAATCAATATCTATGCAAAAAAATTCGCATCAAATATCCTCAACTGAACACAAAAATCTTTTCAAAATGCTTAAGTCTACGATTGATTTTTGCTATATCATATCATAATCCGAAACGAGCGGATAGCAGTCAGCATTTCAACTCGAACAAATGTGCTCTCGTTTCGCTGATACAAACAACTTGATAATTGTGCTGACTGCCAACTGGTATCTCTTTCACGGCAACAACGTCGTCTTCAATACGCCTTATTAACACTTCCAAATTCGGTCGGTTCCAATCCAGAATCACCTTCAAACATTTCGCGAATCAAGCCTTATTCATGATGAACCACTTAAACAATAAGGAAAGAATAGACTTCTTATCGAATAAATCTGTTGTAAAACAGAATGCAACGAACCAATTGCGAGTGCGCTTCATCAATAATCGCCGCCAAATGTGCATTTCCAACGTTCCAAAGCGCACACGAAATGAGCCGTGTTTGTTTATTCGAACGGCTGATATAACTCCGAATCAATTCTTTTCCAATGTTCATCTCGTCTGCGTTCAACTTGTAAAGAACGTGCCGCACTGTACTATACTCCTCATTAGGGCCAAACGCCACCATGAACGTATCGGTGTTTGTTTCGTAACAAAATGAAATTATTGAACCTGAACAATGAATCAATAAATGAATAATTTTGCATAGAAAAAGACTAAAAGAATTCAAGTTGTTACATTCACACAACACTTATGGCCAGATTGCGTCTGAAATTGAAGTGATAAAGTTACCTATATCTGTGAGCAGAGTGTACTGTTGCTGACGGCAGTAGACGGTACAGTCTCGTACCGACACAACGATCGTCGCATGAATGGATCTCAGAGAGTGGACGTACAGAATTGGCCTTCTACCATTCCCTCCAGTGATGTCTTGTGGTGCTTCAGTTGGCTGCCGCACATCAAATTTCAGCACTCGCCCTGAACTCATCAAAAATCATCCACAAAATCATTGCTCGCTTATACACTCACTGACTGCTGCAAACACCACTCGCATAGTTTATAAATTCACATGTTCACTAAGCAAATATATAATGATATTTCACAATACAGATTCAACTGATTCATATCAATGAATCCTAGCATAGTAATGGCGGTAGTCAGGCTATTCAGAACTGCAGCATTATCATAACAGTCATTATCCAGCAAGGAATCACCTTCGCACATTTAAAATAAAAGACTCATATGAATATGAATGTGATTTTCACCAATAATAAATATTATTTTTCAATGAAATTAAGCTCAAGACACTTAAAAAGAAAGAATAACGCTCTGCGCAGAGCAAGAGGTATGTCGCAATCATCAACATTATATAACAAGCAATAAGCATTTCAAATAAACCAAACCAATACCGTTCACGCAACCAACACAAATCTCCTCAGCACTCATCCAACAACAGCACCATCCATTCGCAGGCAATTCGAATTGATGTAAGACTCGTTTGGATTCGCCAAATCTTCAGAAATAATAACACAGATGAGAAATTTGTTTAGTATTTTACGATTTCTAGACGAACAGTTAACTGCGCCTTCAAACATTATGTGGACTGGAACACTTTCCCAAAACTCTTTCTTCTATGACAACCTTTTTGTGATCCCCAAAACCAAAATAAAAAGGCAAGAGGAGAGCTCGATTCATGACGAGATCCTTTCTCTCCTACAAGATGGCTCATTCGAGAAACTATGAACAGATCGGCAAAGACGAATGCAAAACATAAACATTTATTGTTTGAAACTGAATGATAGTGTGAAACATACTCCGTGATGCAAACCCTTTTGTCCTCTCCAGTGCTGAGAACAAGTCGCGGGTCGAACGGTGACACCTGACAACACCTGGGTCGTTTCGTATGGACGGGTATTGCTGTTGTGATTCTACCATCTCTAGTCAACTGAAACTATTCGTTCCTTTTACCGCATTCATTTGACAACACAACCCAATCAAACATCCTGGCCGTTCAATTCAGATGTTCAAGAACTTCTCCTGCATGACCACAATGCACAGGTTGAATGATCCATCAAGATAAATTCAACGAATGCTATTTCATCTCAAATGAGATTCGAAAGTGACGAACCAGTTTGAGTCCATACGGTCTGAAGAGGTCATTGTCAATACGACACGTAACAACAAAGATATTCCCGTCATCGTGCACACTCCTCGTACCTGGTTGTGAAGAGAGCACAACGGTACGTTCGCTTGAAAGTGTCCAATCATGTACGATTAACTCATCGTGATTCCGTTTTGATACGGACGTCGTGACCGATGCTGGATGACTAGACAACTGCGCAGTTGCTATTCTAAACAAAGGTCAACGTTTGTTTACGATCGAAATCCTGACAATCAAAATACTTTTTTTCTCATTTTCTAAAGCGTTAATCCAAAAAGTAAGTTAATCTCCATTATTGCTTAGTGATGCAAACGTGGTCTTGAAAGCAATTACTTCGTATCTCTTCAACGCAACTGAAAGAAGTGATTTGCACAAATAGGATAATTTGTTTAAAACGAATAGGTCATATGACAATACGACAACACAAGGAGAACGTGGAAGTGAATCAAAAACGATGCACTAATGACGAAATGATAGCACTTACTTGGCATTATCTTCAGCTTTTTTCAGTTTCACTTTCAACTGCATGATCTGCAATCTGAGGCTATCGTTTTCGTCTTTATACGCCTTGTTTGACTCTCGCAACTCTTCCAGTTCTGTAGTGTCCATCATCTAGAATGTTTGCAATCGTAAAATTATCCTTTTAAGCTCGACAAAAATGGTGTTTCTACTATAAAGTCAGACCAGAATAACTGTTGTGATATACAATCTTAAATTCCATCCGACTAATTGAATTCCAGTAACCTTGATAGTACGCGCAAAAATACGCCGTATATCACTAATACGTGCTCTTGTCTTGCACTGTGGACATTTCGCATTCTTCTCACTACGGATCCAACGTTCAATACAAGATTGCCCATATAAATGGCCACACTTCAGACAAACCAATCTAAAACCATCGAATTTTCACTCGTCAAATTTCGTCATTATACATCAACTTCAAACAGAAATGAAGGCAACGTCAAAACCTGTGTGAACCAGAATTTGTATATTCCTCAAAGCATATCATGCAACATGCCGCTTCATCGCCTTCTGTCACAACTGCAAAACTCTTCCTTCAAATAATATTTCGAGCAATCTCCGATTAGTTTAAGATCAATCAAGCAATAAGGTTCTCACTGATTGCCTTTGAATTCACTTCAGACATCAACTGATACATTATAGTGCTGAATATTATCCGTTACGAGATTGACGATGAGTCTCCTTTCAAAATACGGCATATGTTTCTTTTCATTACTCGTAAACAGTCACAAATTATAAATATTAATTGTTGAGAGGACAACGACAATGTTATCGAATTATGAGATAGTAAGAAGGAGCAGGAAGAAGCATAATTTTAATGGTTCACTAACTTGTATCATCAGCGTTCTCGTCTGTCTTTGCCCTTTTCCTGGCCAACGGTTCAGTTGGCTCCTCTTCGCCATCACTACTTAAGATAGTACGGCCAAGACGCTGTTCTTCTGGAGCAGTTTGAGCGGCAGACTAAACACTGGTACGTATATACTTACAGAAATAAGGAGATAAGCTATTTCATAAGATAAGATGACATGAGTGATAAATTTCGCAAAAGCGGAATGAGGTAAATTGCCATGAAAACGAAATCAAATCAATATGAATTCAAAATGCGAAAAATTCCAACAGAATGAAATAATTCCGATGTCAGACTGATCGGGGTTGCTTCAAGTGTAACTCTAAAAACGTATGCAATTGTATCATCAAAATGGAACTAATTCTGCTGCAAAGGTTGTTAAAATCAAAACGACATTTCATGCATATGCATTCACTGTTGAATAGGAAAGACGATCGTAGAACAATTATTCTGAAAATACCCTCTTAATTAAACCAATCAAGACAGACTCTAACCTCGACATCGAGCACAATCACATCATCCGAATCATCGAAGAATGCCCTCCTGGCAGTCGTTCTTCTCGCACGTGATCTCGTCACAGGTAAATGTGCTGTGGTTGTTCCCTCCTCATCTGATTCTTCTTCTGATGTTTCGTCCATTCTCGAGTCTGATTCTTCATTGTCTGATGAAGGCATCAGTCATCTACTCTGGCTATAATTCAGCTGAAAACGAACTTATCAATCATTCTAATCCTTTCTTGAATTCAAATTTCTTTGCATAATTTTTAGTCAGACCAAGAATTTGGTATGCACTTTCGTGTTCAGATTTTACCGACGACTGCACTCACCCCCTCAGCAAATGTTCAACTCTTATACAAAACTATCAATCAATTCGGACCAGTGAAAAAATTTTTCACTTGAAACAAAAATCAGATGATATCATTTGGCGCGTTTCAAACGATACTGCTGAACGCTGCCAATAGTGCTTTTATCAATACAGTGGGGCATAAATCGTTTCGAAAAAAGGTGAAATTTAAAAAATATTGGGCTGCAACATTTTTGTAAAGAATAACAGCTCAATATTTGCTTCAAAAGTTAATAATCTCAACACGATTCTTCTTACACTGTAATTGGTCACAACTTTGCATTTGTCATTTCAAAATGATGATAATTTTCTATTTTTTTTTGATAAAATTTGATGAAATTTATTTTTGCTCGATTTTCTTCGTCTTTTTTTTTCATATTGGAAAGGTGCTGAATCTGGAAGGAACATTTTGAGGTAATATCTCATCCGTCCCTCAGGTCCAACCGTATACATTTGCACAATATCAGGAAGTTGATGCGCTGGAGTACCGTTTTCAATATATTTTTCACATTTTTCTCAAAGACGAAACTGAGAAAAAACTCGGGTTCTCAACCTCCAACTTGAAATCACTTTCTCTGATCTGAAGATATATGGTCGATTTTGCGTGCCCATTTTGCCTCCACATTGGTTAACACATAATTTTGCATTGTCCATCACAAATGCATTGTCCATCTGCTTTCATTTTAGTTTTGCATCGGTATTCTTATCGGTTTGTTTTCAATTCATACTTCGGCACGTCGCTTTTGAAGGAGAAGGTGGTAGATTTATTACTATTTCTTAGCGTTAAAATAGAATTAATGAATGAGCCCTTATTCGACATTATGACTTTGAACGGTGATTCCATTTGTGCGTTTATTTATAAGTTACTGGAAACCGTTGAGTATCTCATTGATTGTTTAGTGGTACTTTTAATACTCAAATAAAATGGCTGGAGAAAGCGGTTCGAGTAAGGCCAAGCGAACGACGTCGGTTGATTATGGCGAGAAAGAGGTATTTGCTTCATCATTTTTGATTTTGTGTGCATTCATTTGGGATGTACGATCGATTTGCATTCTCAACGGTTCAAAGATTCGTTGATCATGCGTTTACAGTAAATGATTTTGTCTTAATTTAAGCTCATCTCGAAAATACCGGATCTTGGAATTGCTCAACTTCGTTTCTTGGTCAACAATCCCGAGTTAGATCCGAGTTTGAAGGCCAGCAATTGGAAAACACTCATCGAAGTTCGTTTCTTATTTGCTAAATTATTATGTATCTAAATTTGCGTTCATATTTCTCACATGAATTATTGCCTGCTAATAGGCAGTGAGAACGTAACAGTCCTGGGGATGAATTAAAGAGTGTTGGGTTATGCTGAAATGGTAATTTAATTGAAGTTGATCAAAAGCAACGAAATGGGACCGTATTACAAAACGGTGTGTGATGAGGTTGGCGCAGCCATCAATGAAACACTTCTGAACGAACTGAAGGAGAAGAACGAGAAACGTGTCAAGGAAATGGATGCGGAAATCGAGGATGCTGAACAAAATCTGGGTGTGTATTTTGCAAGTTCTTTGTGGACAGTGCTCAGATTGAACGGTCGTTCGAGATTGCTTCTAAGAATCGTTTCAACACCGATGTGAATTGGTCATTTAACGGTCTTCTGCCTAAACGTCTTTTGTTGGTTTTTATTTTGAACGACTCGCTGAAATTCAAAGTGAACGTGAATGGGAAGTGTTTTATTATAAGCGATCGTGTTTTGTTACCGCTATACCGGTTTCTAAAATGGAATGTTTCACATATCATTATATCACCCAATGAAGGAGAATCGCTGTATTAATTCTAATTTAATTGAAGGTGAAAGTGAAGTGAGACAAGCGCTGTTACGTAAAAGTGAATATTTGTGTCAAATCGGTGATAAAGATGCAGCAGTGACTGCATTCCGTCGAACATATGAAAAAACGGTTGGATTGGGATATAGAATTGATTTGATCTTCAATCTGATTCGTCTCGGTCTGTTCTTCTTGGATCACCAGTTGATCAATACGAATATCGCTAAAGCAAAAGATCTCATGGAACAAGTAAGAACGTTTCTTGACAATCGCTTGTGTCATTTATCGAAGAAGATTGATTGATTTAAGGGTGGTGATTGGGAACGGAAAAACAGATTGCGGTCGTATGAGGGCCTTTATAAGATGGCCATTCGTGACATGAAAGGTGCTGCGGCTCTGTTCCTTGAGGCAGTACCGACGTTCGGTTCCTACGAGCTGATGTCCTATGAGCATCTGATATTCTACACAGTGATTTGCTCTGTTTACGGTTCGTCATTCTTCATCTCGTCTTTAATTTTACTTTGCATCCATTCCTAAGTGACTGAGGACCATTTCGCATTATCAATAGAATAATCATACAAATAGAGATATTCGATGCCTTTATGGCAAAAGCGGATATCCGGAAGCGGGAGTCGAGAATTAGCCTCGAATTCGGTATGAGTTCGCCTGCAGGGTGAATGATTGGCTTGTTAGATTGTTTAATAAACTTTTTTTTTTCAGCATTGGAAAGACCAGATCTGCGAACGAAAGTGATCAGATGTAATGAAATTCAAGAGCAGGTAGTGGTTGAGTTGTTGTCATTCGCTGATTTATTCTGTCATTGTTTTTAATTCAGTTGTTTGCTAATAATAGTAATAATAATCAGACCCTTATAGGTCAGGAGTGTGGATTTTGCTTGAAATTATATAGTATACATAAAGGGGAGTTACATTCGGTTATGTTGTTAAATCGTAAAAACTTCAGTTAACTGGTGGTGGTGAGAAGGGAGCGTTGATCCCGATCAAACAGTATTTGGAAGCATTTTACGGGTGCAGATACGACGAACTGTTCGTGTTGTTGGCACAGTTGGAGAGTGAACGCCTGAAATTCGATCGTTATTTAGCGCCACATTATAATTTCTATTCAAGAGCGATGCGCCTGAAAGCCTACAAGCAATTCCTTACACCATATAAAACGGTTCGTTTTGTCATGGTTTTGCATGTTGTTAAGGTGTGCTTTTGAAAGTTGTGGAGATAATGGTTGAAGGTGCGACTGGATATGATGGCGAGAGATTTTGGCGTGTCGAAGGCATTTATTGATAAGGAACTGCATGCGTTGATCGCTGCGGGACAGTTGCACTGCAGAATCGACGCGGTTCGTGGTGTTATCGAGATGAACCATCCGGACACGAAGAACCACCTTTATCGAAGTGTCATCCGGTAATTTTTCGTTATTGCATTTTCATCTATGCAGTTATTGCGTATTGCGAGGGGAAGTGGGGCGATTTCATTGGATTCTTACATGAATATTCAATAATTTGTGTGCTAGATTCAGAGTAGTACTGAAGAGTTCAGAAGTGAATTATTGCCGATTGAAGTTTGGTTGAAGTGAGCGGCTAGCAAAAGCCGCGAGTGATTATTATCATTGATACGGCTGAGAAGAGAATTTGATTTGGCAATAAATTTTGAAATAATTTTCAGTGATGGCGATATTTTACTGAATCGAATCCAGAAGTTGGCGCGTGTGATCAATGCTTAAATTTGCAATTTTTCTTTTGTTTCGTTTTGAATGCAGAAACGTTGAATTGATGATGTTATTTGTAAAGGAATTCAGATGAAGTGAATTTGACAAAATTGTTTCATCACTTATTTGTCTGATGAAGTAGTACTCTCAACATGATTTTACTGAGCTTTTCTAAGGCGTTTACTTCAGTGATAACAAAACGTTAATGCAATAAGCGTCAGTTTGCTTAATGAAATTTGTTGTGCGCGGTTTTAGTAGTGGAAATTTTTGTATTGGTTGTGACTGTGGTGAAAATGATAGTGGTGGTTGGTAATCGTGAGTGGAGATACGAGATGTTCGGTTTTTGCTGATGAAGATGTGTTCATTCATCGTTTTGTCATTATTTATTTGCTGACCATTTGTATTGTTACTGATTGTTGTGATGCGAAACTTTGAAGTTTTTATGTGAAATTATTATTGGAATGAAACATTTGCATGCCGATTGGTTTCAAAATCTACAAATGTTGAGTTGTTCTGTTGGCGTTTGTCGATCACAACAACAGAAATAAACCGAAATGCTCGTCAGAGATTGTATGCACGCAACACAACAAACAACTTAAAACGTTTATCAAATTCGTTACCATATCGTCTCATCTTCCAAACAAACAATAACATAACAAAATCAACAAATAATACATTACCGATCACACAACCAACACCACCGACCCCCTTCGGGGATCGACTCAATATATCATTCATTCCAAATATTTTCGAAACATCGCAACGAATTACAGAACAAGAGGTTCAATTAAAGCAATAATATACGTTAGTCAACATTTATTGATGATAATCAAAAAAGAATATTTGCTGTCATATTGTCATTCATTGCGAGCAGAGTCTCAAAAGTAGCATAAGACTCAAACAAACAGGATGGGAGGAAGTGTTTTTTGAATGTGTTTTTTTTTTGAAATAAAAAACGATATGAATGATAAATGTTTAGATAAGTCCGTAGAACAGGTAGGTGGTGGATGACTCTTAGCGCGAAACGCAAATAAAGATCATACTATCCGAGGTGAAAATTTTGAAGATTAACAGACAAACGATTGAGATTAATTATTGGGTAATAAAACAGTGAATCAATCAAAAAATAAAACAGATAAATTACTTCAAAAGAACGTTTCCATGAAACAAATACTGAACGATAATAATGATAACAATAATGTGAAACGATTAAAGAACACTTCAAAGAGATGAATGAATAAATGTCAACGACGAATATCCAGAAGAAGATTGAATCTGATTTGTGTGTGTGATGTCGAAGAGGAAAGGTACACTGTCTTATGTTCCGAGGTTGTTTCTGAGTATCATCATGCCCAATCAGCAACAAAACACCAACAACATTTATGATGGAAACAATCGAACAAAATAAAAGCGATGAATCCGAGCAGATCATACCACAATAATCATCATTATTATTATCGTTATTAACTGAGGAATCAACCCATCATCAAGGGACATAACAGTGGCAATTGAATTGAATACCCTAAGACCGATATGCCGCTCGAACGAAATCATATTCACTGATACTATGAACAACATCTTTTGAGAACTGTCATAATCTTGCGGTAAGGGAGAGAAAAAAACTCGAGAAATATTTAGGTGGGCGGCAGCAACGATCTTTAGCACAAGTGATTGGTTCGGGGTGATGACGGGCTTGAGATTACTCGTCGTGCTCTTCGCCGGCATCATCTGCCTCCTCCAGATCCTCTGCGTTCTCGTCGTTCTCCGATGCGCCCTCCTCATCCAGAGCTGCCTCTGCACCGTCGTCTAAGTCTGGCACCAAAAAGTATTGCAGTGGATTCGGCCATAAGTCGTCTTTGATCAGCTGAAAATCACCGAACAGCTGATCACATTCAGCCATTCATAGAACATTTCACCTACTCATCACCCAATCCAAATGCATCAAACTATGATACTATCCGATGCAATCAAAATCGCATTTCCTTACATTGATGTAACAAAATCAGTTCAATCAATTTCGTCGTAAGTGAACGTTTCGAAAGATCAATTATTCAATTAGTATAAGAATGAACCTCAGCAATTTCGTCGTTACTCGCATCTTGATTATCCGTCAACCACGCGAAGAATGTACGTGGCCCTGGTGTGCCTTCACCAGAACTATTCAATTTACCCTTGATCTACAATATTACTTCGAATAAGTTATTTCCAATCTCGATTCACAAATAAAAACAAAAACAAATGACCCCTGTTCAAGTTATCAACTTCTATGAAAGACTGCACGACCAAAACAAGAAGCCGAATTGATCTTCGCTTATTTCAGGAATAGAACCATAAAAATTCCGTTTGACTATTCAAGTTATCGACAATTCACTGGTGAGTTGAATTGAATACTTTATTGACAAGTTCGTTGTCTGCTTTCCATTTGATGTCTGTGGTGGTGCTCGTTGGCTCGGCATTGCCCAAGAAGAACTCTTTCACGATTTGTGTATTCTCAAAGAATGGATTCTCATCGAACGCCAACTTAATCCTATACCCCGACTTGATGTCATCGAATTCCTCTACCTGAAACAACCTCATATCGTATCAAATAACATCAATAATACCAATTCACTGCTAATAATAATAATAATAGGCATCAGATAGGAAATGTCAATTATGAAATTTTGTTGAAACAGCTGAATGGAATGGATTAAGTAAACTGCTGCAGTGCTAAAACAACTAACTTCAACTTTTGTAAGATAGTGAAGGCACTCCTCTTCTTCTTCCAATAGGATCGCACTGATATTTGGATGATTGACAAGCTGAAATACTGACTCCCTGTGACGAGATTGATACTGTGATGTCAATTGGATTAGAGCACAGATTAGAAGAGACACAACAAGTTGCTGATGAAACTTTACGGATGCATTAGCCATGAAAAGAAAACATGAATTTAATTCAATCAAAAAGTTGGATAGAGGTTAATGGAACGAATATTAAAACTTACGACAGTGACCCAGAAATTGGGTATATCACGGACCAGCTCATTGCGTTTCTCGAAGAATGGTTTTCTTAAAGAATTGTATTTTTGTTCAACCTGAAATCAAAACCTCTTCAGTGTGATGCTAGATAATAAGTGAAGACATGTGTGATTGAGAGTTGAAGTACTGCTTTTAAAATAGATGTTCATCACTTGGCAAGGTCCTACTTTACCCTAACTATACAAACTCATTCTGTCGTCGAGTGTACACAATTGGGAAAATAGTAGGAAGCAAAAGAGTGTCTTATTCACTTCATTTGCAAACAACGCTCTGATAATTGCAAACACATCAAGAGGGGAATTGACCCAGTTGAATGATCAGAAGAAACGAAATCGAAGGAATAACCTTAAGTATCTCCTCACTCGCTTTCTCATTCAAAGCATCGATCTCGCCTTGTACTTGATCAATTTGTTCCAATATTTTTTGTGTTGCATCATCATACTCTGACTGGATCTTGAATTAAACAATTGCTATTTTCACAAGTGAATGATACGTGTGTGGAGAAGAAATCTCGTTTGTTACTTGTTGCACAAATAAATCAGACAGATGAAGTGAGTGAAACGCAACCTTCGCATCTTTTGCCTCTTCGCCGTTCGTTTCGTTATCGGTTTTGACACGTTTTGTGGCTGGTTCACCCATTCCGATAAGTGCTCTTTGAATGCGTCACTTCAAGATTTCACTTCAATACCCGTCTAGTTTAGACACTAAAACCTATAATAGAGACACTGAGTGCAAAGTATTTGGACTCAACGCTAAGCCTGCTTGAACCATAATATCTGAGCGGAAAAAGCCCAAAAAAAGATTTTCAAAAACAAGTTGGCAAGATACTGAACAACACAGCGAGATCATCAAATAAGACAGCGAATAAAGCCCTCAAAGCGATCGAATTGTGCACGAGCAATCAACAAAACAACACACAACAATCATCACCACCGCTAATTTCGCATAAAGCAGCACCCACATCCACCCTCCAAAAACACCTCCACATGAACCAAAATCAAGAAATTATCTTAAGAATGGTAATAAATTGCGCGCGTCGCAATACGCAGTCGATGCTATTTATGAAGCGATTTGCCATTTAACGGGAATATATGCCAATCGCTGATAAAACTTTGAGGTAACGTTCAACAAAAAAAAAAACGATAACAAAGTTTTAGCCGAGGGCTTTTTTTGTGGTTATGCTTAATGGTGAATTTGAATCGGTTCGTGACCAAAAGTGCAACTTTGGAAGTGTTCGATTGAGAACGCATAAACCGAAATGAAACCAATCGAGCTGCAGTCGGGTCTATTGCACAACGGTTCCTCTGGTCAGCTTGACGGCAAATGCAGAGCTCTTGAGCAGGTCTCGCCTAGCATTCGTTCCGCTCAACCTTTTATTGGTAATTCACAGATTTTAAGCTTGAACCTTCTTCGGCATGTTCAACACAAACCTATCCGACGACACATAAAATGCACCAAAAATCACTAGTCATTTAAATTTGCGCTGTGGCACATCTCGTTCGAAGAGACGACTCGTTTAGTACAAACCTTTGGTATTGATCCAATAAAGTGATGTCATAAGGCAGTGTAATTTTCTCAAAATCGGAAATTTTTGATCACCGTTGACGTCATTGCGAAATACACGTGAGAGAGTGGACGACGTGTTGGATTGTCGGATTGCCGTTATTGGGCGTTTGCGTTTGGAATTTTCAAATTTCTTTCATGTTTGAACAGTACATCTCCATTTTAACAATGCAGTGCTGCAGATGTTGGGGCTCTTTAAGGAATAATGGGGAAGTGAACGTGGTAATTGTGTGGGGTTGTATTGTATAGATTGCTTGGGAAAACGTCTGTTCTGTGGCACATTTTATGGAACGTGCGTTGTTTAAAACCTCAATTAATGCGTAATTTCCGCATGGCTTAATAATTTCGCCACCGCGCCCAAAAAACAACCTATTACGTAATACAGTGTGGGTGGCCATCAGGCCGTGTCGTTTGCTTTTCGTTGCTTTTTATTTTTGTACGCTGCTTATTTTACCGAAGTGATCATATGGAACGATTATGATAAGAGTGGCTATTTTGAGGGTAGTGTCAGCTTATTGATTGATGTTAGTGTTCAAGTGTGCGTCATCGGCTGTCTTACTGCTTTCTAAGAATCAGAATCAGTGCATAATAACGTAGCATTTACAAGAAACGCGATTCAGAGACGTCTTCAGTCATAAACTCAGTAATGATGAATCGGCATTGGTCTAGGTTATCATCAGTAATCGATGTGATATTCAGTTCTAATGAAAATGTCAATTATTCCTCTGCGTAGTGAATTTATCTATTTGTTCGTTTCGTAATTAAATTAACTGCACGTGATTGTAGGATAATGAGTTGCATATATACGACTTGCCAGTCGTATTGCTTCAGCATCAGTTCATCTCACAATCAGTGTCAGATATAATCGTTGCAGTCGGGAGATTCTTTTCACCAAGTGGATATATTTTTTACGATTGCATTTTTTAAATCGACCGAAACGATATGAGCACTGCAGTTGGGGATTATTCAGTTCATTCGTCGAGGGACAAAGTAAGTTGTTCTGTTTCATGATTGGGTAATGCATCAACTGGGTATTGGGTAGCGGTGTTATTAGTGTTGGAATAGCACTTCTGTATCTGGTATCAAACAATTTTTGTTGATCTGATAGTCGAAAGGTATCTGATAAGCATTTCCAGGCGCTAGTCCTATGCCCAAATGTGATTTTGTGTGCACTTAAATTCATTCGAATGGACGAATTCATTCTGAATGGGTTATAGAATTTATTTTTCTACAGATTACTAAATTATTTTTATTTTGAAAAGGAGTTCTTTGTTCAGCATGTAAGCCGACGAATGGCTTCGACAACAGCTGATACTCTGTACTGGTGTCCACCCCCACCAGTTCCTCCAGTCACTCTACCACCTGTCGCTGGTGTTCAGTCTCTGCCACCGCGACGCCGTCGTGGCCCTATGACACCTCCTTATCCGGCAGACCCTCCGTCGATATCTGACGATAGTATCATTCGGGTGTCATTTTAATTGTCGATTTTCATATAGATTTTTGAAATCACATTTAGCGAGGTATCGAAAGACGCTTTTTAAAATCATTGTATACGGAAAGCATGATGCTGTTTGTGTTGTCTTTGATTACTGACAGATGAGATGCTAACTTTACACATGTCTAGTTGAGTGATTTTGAAGTGTTCATGGTCATCTGACATAATAGAGGAATTGCAGAGCGATGTGCCGAGTAGTCAGTGTGATAATCTGGTGGGAACTGCGATGGATCTTGAATCAGTGAGTGGTGCTTCACGTTCACCGTCACCTGCGATGTTGTCTCCATCTCCACCTGAGAAGTGCGATTTGTTTTGATTGTAAACAATTATTGTTATTTTGTGACTATTTTATTAGCACACCGTAATTTTGTTGATCTGAGAATGCTGATTCAGAAGGATTCGTCGAGGGCCTCGCACCCCTCCCGAACCGGAACCGTGCAATTCTCGATCGCCCTCACCAACTTCTTCGGCAATTCATCACTCTCAAATCTACCAACAAGGGTCGTCAGCCCTGCCATCTACAGCCAATCATACCACCACCTATCACCGATTACCGAAACGAACCTCAAGTCCTCCGGTCATTGTGCTACCCACTGTAAATCTGTGTCCTCCGTCAGCACCAACGTCAACTCTGTTCCATGACGAACGTTTACAGTCTCGTTTCGCTGGTTGGTTCTGAAAGATTACATGTGTTTAATCGTTGATTTGTGGTTGTTGGTGTCAATTTTGCCTTTGTTTGGGAAAGAAACTCATCGCCAGTGCCTTAGCAGTTCATTTGGTATTGTATTTATATTGCTTATGTGGACAACATATTGAATGTACTTGATTCGACGTGATGATGTGAATTGCGTTGAAAGATGGCACTTGATAGGTATTGGTTATTGCGGTGGCGGGTCGAATAACCCTGCGGTGGATCGGTTGTTGATCGCATCGACACAGCGGAATGCACCTCAAATGTTACCGGCACCGGCCGCTAACAATCAACCACAAGTGATGTCAAACGGTGCTGCGCCGATCCCGTTGAATGCGGTCATTTTTGATGGTGGTGGCGTTAGTGCGTCGAAAGGCGCCGAAATGCCTCGTCCGCACCCTCATGCTCCACCTCCACCACCACCCCCACCAGCTCATCCCTTCGAGCCATCCTCGTCTCCGATTGTCAGCCCATCAGCATCTTACAGTCTTTCACCGATGTTCCCACCGAGACCATCGTGGCCACCCGTCGCAATAGCGTCGATGAGCAGCAGCGCCGCGTCGAGCAGTTGTCATGATTTCACATCACCAATGCAAAGGTCGTTTAATGCTAAATCTTGAGTTACAATTAAATATGGTGTTTGTTCATTGAGGTGATGTGCGTTCAGTATTTGGTCATTTGAATCGGAATATTTCACGACATTTGTAGGTAATTAAACGTTTAGAGCTTAAAGATTTGGATTGTAGAGGAAGTGAGGTGATCAGAAAGGTGATAAACATTAAATTTCATTTCAGTTGTGATGTTCCAGCGCGAAGTATATCGCCGCCCCCGCCCCCTCCACCTCCACCCCCTCCACCACCTCCATCCCACGAACTCAGTTCTGGCTTGGCGACGAATGTGATGGCGATTCCGCCGCCACCCAAATCGTTCGACTCACCAAAACTCAATGAACCATCTGCAGCAGCAGGTACTCGTGCAATCAGATATCCTATGATGGTCAAGAAACATTTTCGAATGGGTGAAAAACAGTCAAAAAAATTTTCTTTCTAACCAAAAATTTTTGGATTTCAATTGATAAGTAATTTCATCGCTTTTTTCATGTACTAATCTAATGCATTTCAGTATCTAAATTGAGGGAGTATGATTTTGTTGTGTAACAACTAGTTGATTCTACAATTATGTTTGATAAAGATAACTATGAATCGTATTTAAGAGTCGTCAAGCTCAGTGCCATCATCAGCAGTAGCAAACAATAAGCCGGTGTCAGCTCATGAAACGACGTCAATCGCACTCGATCCAATATTGCTCTCATTGGCGGACTTCGCGCCGAAACAGCCTCCACCTGAGAGAAGAACGAAGAAGTCGCTGAAAGGGGACACAACAAAGAAGTGGTTAATGGATCGCAAAGAACGAATACTAACCGCTGAGAATGAGCATCGACGTTCATCCGTGACCAATGGATCCAACAAACAGAAAGGGATGAAGTTAATATCGAAACAGAAATCTGAAGAGAAATTATCTGAAGGAGTATCGGAAATGAAATCAAAAAAGAAAACGAGCGCTCGAAAAGAGACCAATGGAAACGAAACGAAATATCAGAAAGAGTTCTATGAAGAAAGAAGGAAAAGCCGAGATAAGGTGAAACAGAAACGATCCACAGATGTTGGCAACAAAAAGGATGGCATCGGTAGGAGTGTGGTTGATGTTCATAAAGCAGACGAAGAAAGCAATGTTCCTCACTCAGCTGTGAGTAGTACTTGCGCTCATTCAATATCCGGTGATAAGTTGTCGAATGAGAAATCGGATCAGCATTACGCAAAGCAAAAACAAAAGAAGAGAAAGCATAAAGAGCTGGAAGCGATTCCACCAACTGATAAGAGCAGCAGTGTTGTGGAGAAGAAAACTGCAACAACGAAGACTGCGACAGATGAAAATTCGATGAGCGACTGCAAAGAATCTGGATCAGAAAACCATCAGCTAAAGTCACGAGGTGACCAATCGTCCTCTGAGAAATCACCGCATCCATTAAGGAAACCAGCAGAAAAGGCAAGGGATCACAAAGGCGAATCGAACTCAAGAAAAGAGCACGAACGGCCGATGAAAGCATCTTCTGTAGGCAAGAAACGCTCTCCATCATCATCGTCTTCAAGCCATCCTAAAAGCACCAAATCTGTTGTTAGCAAACGGGAACAAGGTAGGTATATATTGTCCAAGGCCAGCTTGTTGTAATGTCAATTTGAGTGATACGAAGAAAGTAGTTTTGTTTACTGCTGACTGAAATTCTTAAAAGTGATCGGTAAAACAGATTTTACAGTTGTTGGATTGATGAGGCAAATTTCTGTTATTCATTTCACCGTAGTTAATGATACAATTACAGAAGATGAGAGCAGTGGAGGCGAAGAGAACAAAAGAGCAGTGAGGAGAACGAAGAAAGAGTCAGCTTCTGATGAGCTCAATTCGAAAAAAATGCCATCTCAGTCGGAAACTGAAGTCGATAATGTGGTATGTAAAAGTGAGGTGAAGCGCGAAATTGGTTCTGAAGTAAGTGTGCTATAATCTGATTTGGATACTCATTATGATTCTAGCTGTATCGAGGATACAGGGCCGCTTACAGTGTTTTCTTCAAAATTTTTATCATCCGTGCTGTTGAAAGGTGTAACTTGGAAATAGCGCATTTCCTCGTGGAGTTGATAGGCAAATTAAGGACTGAGACATGCATGCATTGGCATTGTGATTTTGAAGGAGTTGTAACTTTTATCGGTGATTCAATTGTCGTTCTGTCTCATTTCAAGATTTTTTCATAGATTGGAGAGGAAGAACTCTGTTCATTTCCGTGTGCTGCTGATAGTAAGAGTGATGAAAATATCAAGGATACAACACTGGTTATGCCGAAGGTAAAAGAAGAGGTCACTGGACTCGATTTACTGTCGTCAGCAGCTCTGATTAGGTTGGTTTCGTTCAGTAAGGAACAGTCTTGGTCAGTGAGGTATATGCATGAGGGAATCGACAAACGAGACTCCAATTAGTAATGAGTCGTCTGCTTTTGTTTTAAGAATCAATCGTCTCGAAAAATTGTTTTGGATATGCCGCCGCCTTTCCGGATAAATGGTTTGTTCTAGTGAACAAGGAAACTGCAATTTTTTGATATAAATAAATTTACTTCTGCTAGAGTTAAATTTTGGACATTGATAGCTTGAATGGATGCTGTAAGTCATCAGCAAACGCCACCAGTACTGGATCAGTTGTAAGCAGCACGTCTTCTTCGCAGCAGTGTGCGAGTCAGTCCGAATCCGATAATCGCACACGTCAACAATCCACTTGCTCTGATACCGATCTACACAAAGACTTGGAACGTTCAGTGCAGATAAATACAACTAACGACCCACCACACCATCAACCCAGAAGGCGTTCAATACCGAAAATTTCGGCGAAGGTGAGAGTTATCATCTTATCTATCCTTTTGACTCATTCATATTCTTTTGTGCTTATATGCCTGAGCTTATAAGAATATTTTGGTCGCTGCCATTGAATTCCAGTGTCTTTTTTTTTTAAATCAGTGATATTTGGTATTGGCGACACGTCAAGCGATATCTGATAACAGTTCATTAATGACGATCACTCATTGATATTCGTGTCATTGCTCGTCGCAGGCCAATACTTTTTCAGTTTCGGCGTTATATCCACATTGAAGTGCATCCGAATGGCGGTGCGTCGATGCTGCGTGCGAACTGGACGCATGTCAAGAAACATCTGAATGATTTCGAAAGAGAGCAGTTCACTCGTGAATTCATAAGGCTTGGTCTTGCCGAAATCAACCAGAATCCTGTCTTCGTGATCGGTGTAATAGAAAATGCTACCACCTATCTGCAGGTACCGCTGATCTTGACCCATCAATCAAATTTTCATGTTGTGGTATAAATTAGTCAATATGCTTTAAATGAATCCAAACTGATGCAAGTCATTCACATGCGATAAAGATTGCGACGGCGAAAATTTATTTGTTGAATTAATTTCCGATTTCTTTATGGATTACAACTTATGGTGTTTGCAGTTGGAACCGAATGTCTTTCAGTCGTTATGGGTTCAGTCATTTGTGCATCACTCCGTTTTTGATTCGTTGGATTGATATCAGAATTTCAGAATACATTGGAGTACTTGGCGAAGTCGTATCCCAATCTTCCGGTTAAGGTTGGCTCATTGTTGAATAAGCAGAGTGTGCAAACGACCACCATTTCGGAGTACTATCAAAAAGCAATGGAAACATGTCGATTCGGAACGTTCAGGTTGGTGTGTAGCGAATTGCTTTTCGTATCAGCGCGCATTGATTCTCGCACTGAATTAAATCATTAACGAAACTCTATTTGCATCTCTTATTTGTAGGCACGGACCATTGCATGCGTTGAGTATCGTTGGAGCGAAACAAGAGGAATGTGGCCATTATTTTAGAGTAAGTCATTTTTGAGCATTTCGCTTGTGCATTCAAGGCTTTGTCACGGTATTAATTTTTGTTGCATCGCACTTTCTCCTGTCTGCAAGCAGTCTGTAAATGATTCCAGGAACTGCTAGATCGGATTGAGGAATTTCCCATGCTTCGACTGCTGATGCCTTGGAGTGAGAACTCATCTGCTGAAATGGACAGTCCGGCGGATAGTGACGATGGGCCGATATTCTGGGTTAGGCCCGGAGAACAGGTTAGTCACGCTTTATTTCTAATTGTATTCATGTGATTTCGAATATATCTTGTTTATGGCTGAACCGCGGTGTTGTGTGGGCATTTTTTTTGTCATAGCTGCATCCATCGTATTTCAGCTGATTCGTACCGATGAACCAAAAGATGAGAAACCACGGCGACGAAACGTGTGTCGACCTGCACATCATCTGACTTACAGGTGCGTATTTGTCTTATAGCGTAAAATTACATCTGCGACTCATTTCGGTCCATTTTCAAAACTTTCTTCTGCAACCTGGTACATAGCGGTTTGATGCTTGACTTCATCAAATCACAATTTTTGTCCCTATGTCATTGTTTTCGTGTAGTTTGCTCAGACGATTGCTTCAGATCAAGAGAGCATCGTGAGTTCCTGTTCGAAGACCGTACCCCAGCACACGCGGACCATGTTGGCGATGGCTTGGAGAGGAAAACAACTGCAGCTGTCGGTTTTTTGCAGTCAATAATGGGCGTTAACGAGAAAAAGTTTGTTGCTTCTCTCGGATTTCAATTCAGTTCATTTAGTTAGAGCTGAATTCTGAATCGAATGAATAGTCATGTGATTTCGAATATATCTTTTTTATGGCTGAACCACGGTGTTCTGTAGAAATATTTTTTTGTCATCGCTGCATCCATCGTTATGCGTTTTTATCGATGATTGTTGTCTTGGCAAACGCAAAGTTGAATGGCGATTGGTCGCTTGCGATGTGACGTTAGAAAGTCGAGGTTTTTAAATTGGAGAATGACTGTTTTCAGAGGTCGTGAGAATCAAATTGTTAAAGATGTGGTCTGTTTTGATGCGTCGGATTTTGATACTCTCGTTGAGCGATTACAATTGGATCTGTTCGAGCCACCGATGTCACAGGTAAGTGTGTGATATTATCAGATTGCACTTGTAGTTAATTGTGCAACTCAGAGGTGTGCTATCGAGATTTTATAAGACAAGAGGAATGCTTATCCAATTTGAAATTCCTTTACTGACAATTGTAAAATTAACGGTGGTTTTGTATGCGAAGATGTCATTTTTCCATAATTTAAGTGTGTCCAGTGGGTGGAAGAAGCTAAGTTGAATCAGCTGAGACGAGATGGAATTCGTTATGCTCGATTGCAGGTGGTGTCGGTTATTTGGTCTTGTTTTGTTCAATTTAACACTGATATTTATTGGATATTAGTCGAGTTGTTTCATTTCTGAATTGCAGTTGCATGACAACGACGCATACTTTGTGCCTCGCAAGGTGATTCATCAGTTCCGAACCGTTAGTGCTTGTTCGTCAATGGCGTGGCATGTACGTTTGAAGCAGTATTGTGATGAAGATGAGAAAGATGCCGATCCGATTGCTGAAGATGATACAAGTGATCAAAGTGAGAAGCGTTCGATCAAGCGGAATGGGTATTCGGCATCGATGAAGTAGGTGAATGCTGAATTGATGGTGTAATTTGCTGTTTCGATTCGCTTGAAGATGATGGAACTGACGTTGATTTATTGAACGATTTCAATTCGTTTTCGGAAAGGGAAGAAGAGACATGGATCGTTATGTGACGGTGATTTTGATGTATGGTACTGGTATGTCAGGTTTTGAGAAGAGCGATTGAATGTCTCACTTTCAAGTGGTTTCAGCAGAAGCGGAGAGGTGAGTATGAAGCGGTATGAGGAACGAGTCGAAGACGATGCGGTTCCAGCAGATCCGGTGTTGGTATCAAAGTGATGGACAGTTTTTGTTGTCATCAAATTAGTCAGCAAATTTTCATCAGTGAATAGAATTTGCTGGCGAATTGGTTAGTCGTAGGCAATGGATTCATGTCCGCAGTATTTGGCTCGTTCAATTATAGTGTATTCTCTGGCGTTTTAACAACAATCGAATGAAATGCTGCTTCGATTACCGAAAGAATGCTTTTGTAATATATTTGTGTAACCGATTTTATTGTTGTCCTCAAGATTTATTGTGTATTATTTTTGTGTAGATTTGTGTTTTGTTAATGGGGGAAGAGAGTTGCACAGACATCGTTGCATATTTGTCTTCATTTCGTTTTCGTTGCATATTTCTTTAGCAGTTCAGTTCGTGTTTATTGTTTGTTACTTCTTTATTATTACTATTATTATTATTATTATTATATGATTTATTGTTTTTTTACACGATATCATATTTCTAGATATATGAAAAAAACAAGTCCGGTAAATTAATAATGCTTTATTGGTTTTTGGCACTGAATTTTTGATTTTTGTGTTTGTGTATATTCTATTGTTGATTCTGTCTATATTACTGATCTGCGTTTTTTGAATACCTCGTATTTCATGCATGAAATTCCTTTCATTCAAATTTAAAGAAATCGAGAGAAACAAATTGAATGACGGAAATCATTTCATGAATTATTAGTAATGAAAAGTTAAATTTGATCTTTCGAAATGGGAAGCGAAATGTGCGCTTCGTCTAAAGGATTACACTCGTTTATGCAGTGGATATTGTCTTGAAAAGTCGTTATTCTGAGATTTTGAGGAGGGGACAGTTCTTGGGAGGACTGAAAATTGAGTGAATGGTGAATTTTGATATGTATTAAAAGTTAAGTGAGTACTCTCAAATTGTTGTTGTTAATATGTGATGATTTTAATTTCTATATTTATTTTTACAAGCACGTTATTCATTCGCCCCTCAGGTATTTGTTTTATTGTTATTCGTATTTGAGTGATGCTGTTGAATAGTGAATGCTGCTGGGAAGGGAGAGAGGAATTATTGCTGCGTTCAAATGTTTCATTGATTGACACTCAGTTTGTGGCTCGTCGAAACGGGAATAACTGATGATGCTGTTTAAAATATCACACAGATTTTGCAGTTCAGACGAAAATTATGCGACGTTTGATATGGACGCGGCAGGAAAGGGGGATGCTTCACTTTCGTTGCGAATACAGTTGTCGTTGTATGATGATAATGTTGAGTCCGAGAAAGCTTAGGCCGTCAGTCTAAAGTCATTAATCAAGGTTGATTGTGATTGTGAGAGATGAATGAATATTTTTCGACGAGATTCTTCGAAACGGCGATCGCTTTGGGTTTTTCTTTTGGTCATTAAAATTTGGTTTTTTATTATTTTTAAGTGAATGCCTAGGATGAATCAGTATGAAATTGTATGATGTTTTACACGTTTCTGTCTTATTTGCAGTTAGCTTTATATCGTGTCGAATGTCTATTGTTCATGTGCCAAAGTTGGTTTATTTTTCACACTCTTGCTTTCCTGCCGTTTCTTCAAGCACGTTCAGTTATTATTGAATGAACAGTCATAAAGAATGACCACGATGATGAGAATTTTGCACATTCCTTTCAGAAATCCAAAATTGTCCAAGTAAAATCTTACTCTCTATGTTGATTCGTTATAGATGCTTGTGGGGGTCATATTTAAAAGGCATTTCATCAGCTCACTCATACAAGTAAAACTATGTGCAGTCCGTTTGCAGTTCCGTTGAATCTCATGTGTATTTAATGAAATTGTCGTTGTTTGAATAAATTTTATTGAGTAGTAACGTTTTTCACATGAATAACACAAAAAACAGTGGTGTGCAGTTATTAAGTGAACAAATGATTTATTCGGTGACACTTATAGGCTTAAGCTAACGATCCGTGCAAGAGTCAATGCAAAATCATTCAGCTTTATGATGATTGCTTAGAAAGGAGTCTGGGCTTTTAGCAAATCACGTGATCGTCTGAGCATAAGATGTTACCTGTTAAACAGTAACACCTGAAAACTTCTTCCTGCACAAGTCAAAGTAGACACAAAGTTTGAACTGAGTGAAACAATTCGAAGAGACAAAACATCGAACAACTCGTCAATTGAAATGATCGGCTCGTGAGGTGGTTTCAGAAAATGATCAGTACTAGTTGAGGTAAACAAAATCGTTCGACAATACATATGCATTATGAATATGTAATGTATGCATTGTATCGAATGAATACAATACACATCCTCCAAAACTTGCATTGTTACCTTACATCCAGAAAAATCAGATCAACCCTCAGATTGCTCCATACTTTGAATTACACGTTCATTGGAAACATTATCAAAATATGGCTGCTACATCATATGCAACAGTTTATTCGTTAAATTTCGAATGAAAGCATAGCCACATCATTAAACGCGATATTCTAAAGAATACGAAATGTTTTTGAAGAGGGAATTCATCTGAAGTTGCTTCATAGGAAGCATCTTGCTTATGCATATTTCATGAGGTTATTCACAAATGATATAACCTTTGAAAACTCGCCATTTCTCTAGTTTCAAAATATCATGTATTTATTAGTTTTAACTCGTTTATTAATGATTATTAATGTTATTATTACAATATTATGATCAGTTATTACATGTCATAAATGGAATGATGAACATCACTGATACAGTTATAATGATACGGTGTTGTTGATCAACTAAGATGAATCAATCGGAACTAATTCGCTGATTTCGTTGCGTATGTCTTTTTGTTCAATTCATAGTAATAAAGCGCATCATCTACTATTGCTTCAGCTTTATCGATCATTCTTCTACGAACTTCTTCGTACTGATCGGGTAGTGCTTGCTTGATTCCATTCAGAAGCAGCGGTCCAAGGGTAGGTAATAAGAAAGTTAGATGAAATGGCAATAAGCGATCGAAACTCTCCAACAGCTGAAAAAATTCAATTCTTCTTTGATAATATATCAACAAGAATAAATTTACATCCCATTTTCATTTCGCAGTTTCATTCAAAGATTGAATTTTCTTTTCAGACAAAAAAATTCGAAAAGATAGTGAAGATAATGTTATCGCTCTTCCAAATGTCACAGCTGTTTGCATTTGGAGACGAGAGCGGTCAATCTCTATATTGTGTAGTGCGAAAATTGTTGCAATAAAATCACAAATGGAATCATAGAACGGCACCAGAATCAAATTAACCGATCATAATTTTTGTCAAACTAAAACGTGAGCGTAAAATGTGGATGACATTATAGGTGATCACGTCTTGAATAGCGAACAATTCTTTAAAAAAGGAATCAGTAAATCAAATCTTGCAGAAATTTGACGTTATTTTGAATTATTGCCGTGAATGAATGTCATCGTTGTTTTACTAGAGACTGGTGACTGTTATTGCGACTTAAACTGATAATCTTATAACGACTGTCATATCACCGAACCTGTTCATACGTAAATGGTACTTTGCCAGCAAGCAGTCCGTTTAATTCCGTATAATACCGATTCAATAAGCTTCTGCAATGTTTTCGTCTATCTGCTCCATCCAATGCACTACATATATACCTCGCTAAATCTTCTGCCGCACATCCCTGATGTATTGTCTGTAATAATGTCAGCTTGATTAAATTCGTCACTTCTTACTTCAAAATTCTTCAGTAGAGATGCTCGATTCAATCGAACCTTCACGGTTGCTTAAGCTGCACTTTTAATTATTTGACGGAAAAGTGCGAGTGAATTTCTATGCGTATTGAAACTGGTAGAGGGGCAATGGAGGTGATTGGTATATGAATGACTGATGAAATTAATGACGCGGAGAGGGGGTCGAATGTGTGAGCTTGAGACGGTGATAACGTTCAAAATGAACATTGAATGTAAATGGCTGTAACATCGTTCATAATGCCCAAGTATCAACGATTGCGCTGATGATGGTTTAGAATAAAAGTCTGTAACGACACACTTGCCAATCTACAATCGCAGTTAGTTTTCTGCAACCATCCTTTTGTCGTTCCTTCGTATACATCACGTTCGACGACCACATATCACCATGTACTAAGATAGGTTTCAAGCCTGAAATATCATACCACAGTTAGTGCACAATTTTAGATGATCCTCAAAAATGGATACTCACTCAGTTTCTATACGTAGGGACGATGAGGGGTGGATTTGCCAGTGGAGAGAATTTGTTTCAGTGCGTGACTAGTGAACTGCCATCTCAAAAAATGAACGAATTCGATTAGAAAAAAACTATGATCATAGAAATGACCATCATATAATCAACTTCTTTTAGAGTGATGAGAATGGAAGCGGCTCCATAGTGAACTATTGTATAGCAGGTTGCGTTTCCGGATAACGGTATTGATATGAATTTATGCAGTTTATACCCATTTCTTTGTGGACGTTTTCCGCCGATTTCATATCTAGCGCATCCGAGCAGATATCGCGTAGTTTTTCGAATTTCGGGCCTAGTCGATTCGTGTCCAACTCGGCAGTCATTAAAATCATTTGCACAAATTTCTGCAGATCACTGCTCAGATAAGTACATCAATATTGTTAACACTGATACCATTATTGTTATCATTATTGTTAATACTAGTAAAGTACTGTCACTTTATAATCATAACTCTAAATATTCCGCCGATCGCTCACAGCGATTCACAAAACAACCACTCGACGTCCAACTAACAATAATAATTACCAATCCAGGTAATGCAGGTAATCGTCACTTTACGGTCATAACTGCTCTTATTATTAATTTTATGTTGAACTGCAATATCAGGTAGGCGTTCGTTTTTGTTGGATTTTATCAAATAAGTAAGCAACATGAAAGAGATGAAGAGTTCAGTGATATGAACGATTGTTTTATGGTTGTAATCGCGAGGATAGAGTTCATCAATAATTTCAACTAGCAACAAAAACGACTGTTCGGTACGAGTGCACAGCTTTTTGTTATTCCATTAAAGAAGTAGAATTTGCAGTTACGTTTCAGCACCCCGACAACGATTCTCGATGTGAAAATGCTATGAAAATTCCTCGTTTAACGGTCCGTTGCTCGAAAGTTGATGCTATTTGTATGCAGTCGGATGCATAAATGCTCGAGGATATGCTACTTATAGAAGTTGATGAACATATTTAACAATATATGATTTTTGTAAGGTGCTATTGAATCTGTAACACTCTGGGATGACATAGCAAAAAGGCATTGAAATGAAGTGGCTGATTGAGTGAATTTCTGAACAGGTATGAGAATCTGACCTGCCCGTCCGTGTCAGTCATCTTGAGAAGTTCTCTGATTGTAAGAGAGTTCAGTTCAAGCCACGATTCATCGGCAATCGAAGCGGCATGAATGCGTACCAGTTCATCAATAACCTATGAAAGAATACGTTTTGCATTTAGTCATTTCAAAATGTTTCCATTTTCGGGAGTTTTCAAGGTGAATTTTCCATCGTTTCCTTCTTTTTTTTAGAGTTTCAATTGTTCTTTGAAGAAGAAAGAGGCAAAAATTTGAGAAGTGTTACTATGAGTTAATAGAGATCATTATGAAAAGTTCTAACTTGCTCAGCTTCTTCAACAGAAACTTTCTCATAGATCGGAACGACCTGTGACGTACGCAGATCTTCAAGAATCAAAATACCGTTTGTAACGCCTTCCTCAAAACTCTCCACAGCGTAAGCTTTTGGCACTTTGAATCTGGTGTCGCTGAGCGCTTCATTCTTACGGTAGAACGCAACCTCAACGTTGTGTATCTTCAATTTTTATGCGATTCATCCTTTGCACTGTCTACTTCGAAGTTCCATAATATACCTCCGGTTTTGAGGCCCTATCTTATGCGATTCATCAACTCATATTTTTATGTATCATTAGGGAAACTTTAGAGTTCACTGGAACATGAAAAGAGCAAAGACTTGAGATCGATGGCTCAATGCTCGATCTCGGCAGAGAATTTCGTTCGGAGCTAACGGTAGGTGTTTGATGGTTCGATTGAAGATGCCCATTTGATGTTTTGATGATTGCAATCGTTTCAATCAAGAAGAAACCTCACCGTTTTCATCATCCTCTCATAATCGCTATACTGTTTTTCTCCTTCCCTCTCGAATCCCGCTTTCTCCAAAGCACCGGCCAAGTTTGTAGATTCGATATATTTCTTTGCCGATGCTACCGATGGTATTTTTACAACAACAGTTTCCGGCAACGTTTCTTTATGGCTTGTCCAATCCGGATAGATACGTCCCATTGATGACATAAATCCCTGAATATCGCTCATCTTTCATTTGAATGTCACAAATTAAAATCTTTTCCAGCAATTTCGTCATCATTCATTTTTCATACTGAAGTACGTTTCGATACAACCCAGATGGCGAATTCAAAATAAAATCAGCAGTATCTACATGAAGTTAATTCTGACTTGCCCAACTCCAATCGGTTCGATTCGTTTGTTCGCACCGAACTCAGCGGTTGTTCCTAGTGCTGTCGTCAGCAGTTGTTGCAAATAGCTCCACGTTACATTCGTGCCAAGGATTGACTGGTCGTTCGCTTGAGGATTCTCGTTCTTGTTCGGCTCTTCACGCGTTATCGCACTCATTCTACTTTGATGAGTTAGTGATACAAGTCTTGGAAAAAGTTATTTTCGAAGAGATTTGTGAGAGCAATGCTCAATGTTCTCATGACGTTGTTATTCATCTTTCGATCGCGAATTTCATTCCAACAATTCAATCGGAAAACTTCAGCTATCACTACAGTCCTAACTACTATCAAAAGAACACCGGGATGATCAAATTCGCAGTTAACATTCAGAGGTAACTCTTAGTCGGCGAAACCCCATCAACGTAACTGACTTCAAAGGATTAGGTAGTCGACGAAATCAACTGATAAATTATCTTTTCGTTTTTGCTGATCTTGTTTTGATAGGTCTATTGATGAAGTATGAATGACAATGAAAATAAAAAAATCGCAGTGATATTTTTTACAAAGGTAACGGTGGTAATGATAAAAGAGTACATAAATAATGTGCACTAACGAACTGATAAAGTGCTTCGGTATTCAAAGAATGAAGATTAAAAACGAGAAGATGGTAGAAGAGTGAAAAGCAAGTCACATCATCTGATAAGCAATGCACAAAAACATATGTACTGTGGCTTTGAGTGATAGCATTCAAGAGATGATTTGTTGATAGAATAATGTAAACGATGCTCTCAGACCACTTGCTGATTTGAAATTCTATGTTAAAAGAATATTTGTTTGCTGAAGCCACACTCTGTCAACACATCGAGGAATTATGAGGAGGAGGAAATCGAAGAAACAAAAACAATTTCCTCAAAAAACTCAGTGGAACTTCCACTGCGGTATTTCTGAGCGATAATGTATCCGACAAATTGAAGAGCCGTGTAGTTTGGCGATGGTCTTCTAAGGCGAATATTGAACGGTAGTATGATACGATAATACACTGGCTTTTCAAGCACGCAGTTCGAGCGATACTTTGTCGAACTCGATCATCGTATTTATCACTTCGCAAAGCACTTGCCACTGTTGTCGTATCAGTCCTTATCAACTCACCTAACTGCCCTAGCCAGCTCTATTCAAACGTTGCATTAGTGATCAATTGCAAATCTTTATAATAACATACAGAATGTAAATCGTTATCAATGTCAATACATCAAACACAGTCGAAAAGCACTACTTTTTGCCTGTGTTTACTATCGCCGTTATATGACAATATTAAATGTTTGTTGCTAATCCATACCCTCATTGAAATAATCATTCACACTTTACAATATTTACGACGAATCAGCACATCACTCCTTGCGAAAGTCATTATTTTCAACATGTCAATGCAAACTGGGAGATAACCAAACTCTTCGAGAACAGCTCTTGTCCACCCATTATTCAAGAACGGTCGAAAGAAATTAGTCGAAAACTGTAGACCCATCTCGTTAACTTCTGCAATTTGTAGAATATGGGAAAAATTGAAACATAAACCATTAAAACCCACCTTAAGAAACGAAAACTGATCAGTTAAGACAAATGTGAATTATTTAAAAAAAAGAGATCATGTGAAAGTCAGCTTATAGCAACTGTTGGTGAGTGGTACAATGAGATCAATGAAAATGGATTATTGACTGCAAAATTAGTATGTATTGAATTTCCTAAGACTTTCGAAACACTGATAAACTGACTCATAAGTTACGTACACATGGGATGGATCAGTGTTTCTCACAGGGAGTGAAATTACCCATTTTGGGTAATTTGGAGGTGTCCGGAGGTAATGGAGGAGGTCGGGAAATCAGTAAGTATTCCGTGCAGTAGTTATTTTATGATAGAACGCCATTGTGATGATGTTTTTTAACTCGGATACGTAAATGAGGTTAGTTGATGGCAACACTCTTCATTCTCCTATTTTCTACATAGCATTGGGTCGTCCGGGCCTAACTGGATTCATTTTTTATAGTTATAGCAAGGTTTTCATTCTTTTCCTTGCTGTTACAATCGCTCTCATAACTTCTATCACCAAAAATGTTCTCTTCTGCTAATTTCTCATTCATTTCACTCAACAGTTTAAGTCAAATTCTCATTCTATTAAATACACTCTATAATTGATCATTTGACTGTCGAACGTTGTTGAGCTGTGATATTCGATTGTTGTATTGTTGATTTCGGTTGTCAACACTCGTCAACATATTCAGTAAATAGTATATGCTAGTGAATGAGAAATTGATTCGAACTGTGAAGTGAAATGAGACGAAATGAATGAGAAAAACTCATGAAGAAAACGGTATTCACATGAAATAGTTATGAGAGTGAATACAACACGTCTGAAAAGAATGAGAATCGTGTAATAGACAATAGCTTTTCATGCAATCATAATCGACCGCAGTAATGATCAACACAACGATCTCGGACACTAATTTCTTTTACACCGCTGAGAGATTTCCATACATAAAAATAGTAAGTTCTTGTATCGAGATGGTAATGGCGACCTGCTAGATCATCAAAAGGGGTAATGGAGCACCCTAGCAATAGAACCACTGGGATAGATGGACCCTTGTTACTAGAGTTGAATAATTTTTCAAACAAAAAACACAAAAAGTTACTGCCTTGCTCAAACCATATCCGTTATATCCTGACTATCACAAGGTTCAATTGTGAGTCCATCACTTTTCCTAACTTACGCGAACGACCTTACCGAGGTTTTGTGAAACCTTAACAACATATACACATTTCTGAAACTAGAGAGTCTGGAGAGACCGATAGTGGAGAGAAACGGATATGGATCTATGAGTACCGTTAGATTGAAAGTGGTGATCCTGATATTGCTAATTGCTTGTATACCTTGATCAATGCGGGTACAATGTATCTGAGTGAGCATCTCTACTAGGTGAGATGGCATCAGAAAATGTCAACAAACACTGTCTGGCGTAGTTGATGAGCATCTAGCGAATGATCAGTACAAAAATGCGTGTCATGCAAAACGCTCCAACAAATCACTTGTAATCAGCGGCTTATGTGGCCAACATGCTGTTGCAGGGCATTTACGTACAATTATGTTGGGCTGAAACATAAAAGTGGTGTGTGAGTCGAGTGCTTTGAAGGTGACTTCAATGCTCGCATAAGATGTTGCACGAGTGCAAGCAGATTGCTTCATTTAGTATGCATTCAGCTGGGAAGCAAAAAATTTCTCTCGACGGCCACTGACAAAATGAATTCCGAGCGAAGGTCAGTCCTAAGTTGGTAGACAGCCACCTAACCCTAAATATATGCGTGATTCAGTCAATGATTGTTCGAGAGAAGCTTTTGCAATTAAATTACATTCGAATCATCACATTTGTATCCGATGTGGACTATGAATGGACCATTTCCGAGTCTCTGAATACTATTTTTAACTCTTAGAGCTTCTTAGTTGAATTTGATCGGAAGTCGTATCCAATGACCAACAATTTCAACTTTTTAGTGTTTATCTGATGGCACTAATGAACGCTGACACATTTTTATTTCCTGGATTACGGTAGGTTACGGTAGTTTTTGGCGAATCGTCGCTCCCTCGAGTATTTTTAAAAATATCGGATTGCGGAGTTGCCATGTGATTTTTTAATAATTTTTTCAATTTTCGTAAAGTTTTGAAAAGCTTTCTCAAATTATTTTCTGAAAAGGTTTCGAAGAAATTTTAAATGGTTTTGTTTTCATTGCAATTTTTTTGGATTGCTTGTTGAATTTGTTGAGTGTTGCTGAATGAACTGTTGTCTAATTAATGATGAATATACTGGTCAAGAAGAATATGTTAAACACATCACACTTCTTTATTTCAAAAGTTGCTTTGCAATCTTGACACCGTCTCGGGATTGAAAAACGACCTCGAAATTAAACTCCGATACCAGGATTGAGGAACTCGCGGGATTTCGCAAACTCTAATCGCAATTATACGTCATCTGGTCAGTATGAAAATTCGTGAGTACTGTATTCAGTCGACCTGCTGATTCACGTGTGATGGACAACCGAATAGTTTTTGACGAGATCGAACGAAATATATCAACATGGCTTGCTTCATCGTCTCAAACTTCTAAGCTACCGCACCCGAAACTACTACTTGTTACTGAATTACTAAATCTTCTCACATCACTCAGAACGGACACTGTAACGAAATTGTGCATGAGAATGGTTCGAGCAATTCATGAAATGATGCGACAGTACAGTAATGACACAACTGAGGTGTATACAACGTTTTTTCGAGAAATAGTGTTTATTGACGATGATAAGTACAGCAGAGAGCGGATAGAATTCATTGGCTCATGATCGTGTTGAACGCAAACAATCGGGACAATGAATGGTCGTTTGAAAAGAATAATTTTGTACTTCTAGATGTGTGTTGTTGCACGAATACAGTGCAACGGTAGACATCTGCAAATAGAAAATAATTCTACTTCGTTGACAGTGAAATGATGCAACATCGATACTGTAAAAATTCGATGAGAAATCATCGATTGCGGGGCCATTGCCTCTAAATAAGTGGTTACAATCGATTGCGGGGCCATTGCCTCTGAATAAGTGGTTACAATCGTTGCGATAGCGAGTTTCATATTTATCATTTGTAAAGAAGACCGAATGGAACAATCAACGAACGATATAAGAAATGCAATAATGAATCAGTGCAATATATGAATAGAGAACCAGTTATGCTTGAGTGTAACAGGCAATTGAACAATGGTACGTACGTACATTTTATTGCCACACAATGTACATGTTTTTCTTATTGCTACGAAACAATTGGATAGAAGTTAAGTGAAAATGCAGAAAAAAAAAGGCCATTGATGGGCTAATCGCTCACCACATGTCCCTAGAATCATTGCTATAACGTTTGGAAAAATACGAAGGAACCCAACCCATAAACATCCAAAATAAGTACACAATAAATACCAAACAAAAATCATTGAGCGCTTATAAGATTACGATATGGTACACTTTAACCCTCGCATGACAGAAATTTCTAATGATCTGAACAATTTTTTAATTCTAGTTACGGTTGAGAGAACGAACAAAGTCACAAAATCTCAGGTCTGTGTTTACAATATACATAAAATTACGCAAGATGGCGCCGGACCTCTTAAGTGCGATTGTCATGCGAGGGTGAACGTAGAACTCTGCGACGGATTCGAGAAGATGCTAAAATTATAACAATAAATGTACACGTCTCAACAACGTACCACCATTCAACCACCCGATGTGATTTATAATTCCATTAACTGATCAATTCGCGTTATTAACACTGCAACAAAGGAATACAAATAACGAACAGAATCACAAAAAAATTAACAGAAGTAAGAATGATGCTAAGATTGTTTCTTAAATTTCAAAATCAAAACCATACGATTTTAATCGAAACGAAAAAACAATCACTTCATTCTCCTTGGTTGTAGAGATATTTCATTGTTATTAACAAAATCACAACTTATTCCCAATTTCACTTCACCTATATTCAGCACCATTTTAACATACATAACTGAAATGAATGATTCAATGAGTCGTTTTTAAAGACATACTTTCAGACGTTATTCACCTCACCACGTGATGCAAAACCGTCGATTTTACTTTGAAGAGAGAGCACTCGCTTCTTATAACTCTCGTATACACGACGGCATTTCTCGTTACACTCTTGGTTCTCTTCGTGCAGTACCTTCAATTTACCGATTGCGTACAGACAGACAAGCAACGGAACGCTTACGCACTTCTCGTGGGTAATGATATCACTTATTACCTCCTTTCAATTTCATACTCCTTACTGTGAGCAATTATGACATTTCGTACGTTTAAAGTGCTTACTGCGCGAAGAGTAATGGTATTGTTTTTTGTTGCATCAGTGCTTTTGCTCCTGGATAAATCTTCAATTTTGCATTGAAATTCGCATTCATCTTTATAATTTCTAATGCGCTGTGATAATCAACAACTAACCTTCACAATTTCCTCCAGATCAATCACCTTCGCGTGCTCATCTGCATATTGCTTTTTCATTTCTTCTAGTCTCGCAGTCAACTCCTTAAGATATTATAAATGGACCGATTAAGTAAGAAGTTATACTAGACCAAAGATGATTAATTCATGCAACAGCTTAATGGTTTGTGAGCGATATCTTTATCACTCTATTGATGTAGTCACATTTAGGGTAGATGGAGCATGAGAATCATAAGAGATCTTGATAAAAACCAACATCAATAAGATCCGACTGCATTTTTCCTTGGTGAATCAACTGCTGATGCGCAGCAATATCCGACGCAAAGTTACTGCTACCATCTCAAATTATTATATTATCATACAATCGTCCAACTCGAAATTAATGCAGCTAACCTTCGCAAAACATCATTTGCATTGAAAAGGACAACAAGACGAACCAGCAAGATGGATTACTTGATTTTGCTCAACTTCATTTTACTTGTTCGTCGTCAAAAAAAACTACAAGTTTTCATCTTCAGGTTTTACCTGAACGCACTCAGATCAAACGTTGGAGGGATTATCCTGTCAGAGGCTCTACATCTTCTTCCTTCACTTCAAACACGGTCCGGACAATGTGTAAAAATAATACTGGATAACAAAATAAGAGATCAATTTTTATGTTTGGATGAGAGTTTCGGAGTGCTATTCACAACGAATCGTGAGACAACGGTTAATCGCATACCGTTAAATGCAGTATTCGTCAATGCAATGCTTTGTTCACGAATGATGTCATCGTACTGAAGTTTTTGGGCGATAAGACCGTCGATCTGCTCACTGAAAAACACCGAAAAGCACGTCACGACTCATTCAAAATCGATCACTCCTTCAGCAAACGATCGTTGCAGTATACAGCGATAGAATTAATATGTAGTGATTTCACTTTGATTCATATGGTCACAACTCATCAATCATCATGAATATTGAAATGATTAGAACACATCGATTAAGTTCGCATACCTCATTTCCCTAGTTTTGCAATCCTTTTCGATCATTTCATTCTGCATACGTTCCTTTTCATGCTCTAATTCTCGAACGCGAGCACTCAACGAATTATTCTACAAAATCGTTTAATTTATGATTTAACAACTCTTCAATGATTCAAACCAATCGAATATTGGAACGAATCGCAGAATACAAATGGAACATTCCCCACCTCTTCGCATTTTTTGATGAGAGTTTTTTTGAGTAGCTCACTTTCTTTTTTCATTGTATCCTGAGCAGCATTGTAGTCAGCACGGATCGACTCAACTGCACTCAGCGGGTCAATAACTGAACATTTCAGAGGAATAAATATTGGCAAATTCCGAAGAATTTCTCCAGTTTTCACGCACCAGTTCACTCCAACATCAACCCACATTGAACGCTTTTCACAAACAATTTACGAAAATTGATTAATAACTTGAACATTTCCAACGACAGAACAAATGAACCGAAAATTTCACTTGACAAATCGTTTGGATCCAACGAATTTTGTCCTCGTTGCGATGTCGAGCCATTTGTGTTGAGTGCACTTGAACTTGCAGAACGATTTGCACCGGAAGAAAGAGTTGCCGACGGCGATGTTCCTGTAAGCAGACAGTTCACCATACTTTGCGCCAACAACGGTGTAGATGAAGCGCTGTCTCGACGAGCGGAACCTCCATAGCTAGCCGAGGCAGTACTCGAATCGATCACTGCAGACGATTGCATGCTTGGCACAATGCTAATGTTACTCATTGTGAGTGGTACGCCAGGAACGCTGCCTCCATTTCTGCTGCCCTCTGCACGTTGGATTGACGACGAGTTCGCATTGGATGAGTCATGATCATTAGATATCAACTGAAGAAGAGTTTGAGGTGAGAAAGAAAGACAAGTGTAACAGTTGGTGAGTCATCCAACTTGAGTGCGTTTAAGTGACGATCACTTCAAATTATTATCCATAAAATTCAATGTCTCTTGTTTTACGGATGACATAAATGGCAGTAAATAAACGATTCAAGAATGGGAACGAAAGGCCTGTGAGCATTACATATCACAACAATTCAGTGAACAAATAGAGATAAGTAGTGAAAACGGAACGCTACCTCAAAATCGTCGTCATCAACCGAGTGGTACGAACGTTCGTTTGTAAGCGTATTACTGTTTGAAGCCACACCGCGATCGAGAAGCGTGTTATCTTTTGATGAGGCGCTCATTTTCTTAAGTTGAATTCTTGAAACATAACTGAGTAAATCGATTTGTTGCTTAAGGTTAGAATCGTAAAAGGTTGAGCACACTGGCTACAGTCAAAATAAAGGCTAGTCGCGAAGGGAGTTCATAAAACGTTAATTGTGCAGTTCAACAACTTAATTCATAACCGCAAGTCTCGATGCACCGGACCGGAACAAAATCTACCCGGCCGGGTCAAAGTAATCTATCGTCCCACAAATTCCGGTTCGGTCCAGCTCGACAAGTCTTCGTTTGGCCCGGTAGTCCGGGATCGTCAATCCCACACATTACTTGAAAAATGATAACATAACTGAATTCTTAACCTGACCGCTTCGCACGATTAATATCAGCCCGGATTCATCGGCTAGAACCAGGCATGATTATCCTATAGTAACCCAAGAAGCTCAAGAAAAGAGAAATAAAGATGACTCTAACAATCATTTGCAAGAGCGGGTGATACTACAGGAAGAAGCGAATGATAATTCAATTATCATATCAGTAATGCAACATGACATAGTAGTGGTATTAGAACTATCGATAACGCATAACGACCCGTCACGTAGCACATTCAACAGAGCAAAAACCCAGTTCCACCCAGGCAGCAAATTTCATCAGAAGATGAATCAGCTGGCAATGGTAGGGCAATGTTCATTGGTAGGGCATGGTTTGCGAAAACGTTAGAGAGACAGATACGTAGAGAAAACACGTTTACAATCGTAAGTACATCATCNATATGAATTGAACTATGAAACATTGGTAACTGCTTTATAAAATTGCATTATGACCGAAATTCCAACGACAAAAACGAAAAAACGTTTTGTAGGGAATTAAAACATCTGTCAGATTCCCTTTTCAGTTTGAATATTTTCTCTGAAGTAATATCTGCGAAACATCTGATTGTGAGTTGATCATAAAGCATTCACCTTCCAAATACACAGAAGAGGTGGTTACGAGGTTATGACGCGGTGCATAGCCGTCATTACCCATTTCTGGAACGTTATCAAACCATGCCGAATGGTAATCTTATTGAAGTGTTTCAAGTTCACCACCGACTCAATTGTATTGGAAGGTGCGACCAGCGAATTACCTAACCGACATGACCTATTCGAGAGAATGAATTGCTCTCCTTCAGTTGCAATTTCATACGGATGAACAGGCTAGCAGCGGTGCATTTTACACTGATTCGGTCGAGTCAGGCTCACGTTCAGACCTGGTGTCAAGTTTTCGACTCAAGTCTCTTGTTCCTTTTTTATCATCATCGATTTCATGATGAACTCTCATCGGAAAGCAATCGCATATATGTGTCCGAAATTTGTCATTAATCACCCCTTATTCAAAGGATGCAAAAGCGGTTCAGAAGTCTATGTATTACAGCACATCATGCTTAATTTTATTATTTATCGATACATTCTCTCCGAAATTCTCTTTGATTCCATCCATCAGACAGTTGTAAACACAATATGTCCGATCGTCAATGCATCGAAACAAACGAGAAAAATTTTCAAACCAGTGATCGTTTCTCATCAGTTTCCATGACTTTCCCTCTTCGAACGCATTTGACTTGTTACGATGCTAAATTATCCTCTTACTTCACATACTTTCTGACAGGTTTATCCTTCTTAAATATTCCAAGACAACCAGTCTATCAGTCGAAATGCTTTGCTGTTCTTTCGTATTTTATCATGGACACGTTTTCATCTATGTTCGTATTGATTTATCACATATTTTTCCACTTCATTGATATGCATTTTATCTCACTATCAGTTAATGAAAAGTATCAAAAAGCGATTCGTATTTTAATATCCAAGTGGCTCGGTCGGTCTATCTTTAGGTGCGATCAATTCTTGGTAATAATTAGACTTACGCGTTTTTGTCGCGCTACATATATGGACAGATTTTAAACGTTTACTATGTACTCACATCCCGATTGACTACTGCCTGTTTAAATGATTACCTACTTCACGACTTCGGTGCTAAACATCACCACCAGCCAGTTAGTTATCTCGTCTTGTTTACTCGTATTCAAGCAGTTAGTTCTCTCATCAGCTGTAGCTGCACTCTGTTCCATCAGCTATCGCTTACTTTGACCATAAACTAACGTTGCCGTTTTGATTTACCGAAAACTTGGTTTGTAAACCGAGCGAGCGAGCCCTCAGTGCATACACCAAAACATATTCTAATTAGAACGTGAGAGATTCTATATGGTAGAGAAAATTATTGTGTAAACGAGGGCATTTCATGAAACGGGTGTTTTGGCTTGAGGGAATATGAGAGGCATGAACGGTTATATTTAAACATCAATAGTGGATATCAGTAAAGGATCATGTTATGAGGGCTTGTTTCATTGCTTCGTCCAGGAATCGATCCACGAACTCGTTCACACTGCTCTCAAAATGTTTTTCGCTGGTGCTTGATGTCGCGTCGTTCTTGTCCACTGACTGAAATGATGAATCAAACATATGCTGCTGCACGCAACCAGTGATAATTATAATTTTTATAAAATCAGATCATTATATTATATTAACAGGTGGATTCACCGAAAAGCACGAACAATACCGCATTAAGAGACGTAAATCAGGAGCTGATTAAGTGGATAAATAAATAAATACTTCTCGTTTATCCAAAAGTTACACAACAATCGACCGAAACGAAACGCGCATCAAATCTCGAAGCAAGATAGGATCGAAACAATAACGCATATAATCTCTGAACCAAATGAAAAATTTCCTTGTAATTCATTCGTTAAAAAGGTGTTTCATTGCCAGGTAAGTTCCTCACGAGATTCTTTGATAATGTTGACCTGTTTTTGAGGAATACATCTTATCGAACCGAATGACACACGTCGTCCACGATGTTGAGCTGTGATTCGGTCTGTTGATAGCAGATTTGTTGAGCTTTGTTGAGGGGTACCAAAATGAATATCTCCGACTTTTGGTTTGTCTTTTGGCTGCATACTTTTCAAATCAGCCAATGTCTTTGATTGAATACCTGCAGTTGTTTCTGTACTACGAACATAGGATAGCGTTGAAGAGAGAGAAGATTCTGCTCTCTGATTTATTAAGAAGTCTTCCTTTCGTGAAAGTATTTCGTAATTCACTGATTCATTGTGGAATTTTTTCATCACTTTCCAATTCATTGAAAAGGCTTCGTTTTTTTTCTGAATGTTAGCTATCAATATGGAAAGAATTCGAGAAAGAAAGATGGCGACTTCAATGCAAATAACATACCAGTAAGTAGAGGATGCAATTTCACTTCGCATAATTGCCCATTCGTTTGAAATTCGACTTGTTTCCGAGTGTTAACGGATATAAGGAATTGGGTTAAATCAAATGAACGCGCCTTTATTTCTGCATTATCGTAGAACAAATCTCCAATCGGCAATATATACAACTAAATTGAAAGTTCCATCAAGCTGCTATAGTTATATCAAATTCATTTCGCTGAATTCCTCTTTCTTTTTCAAATTCGTTTTCCAACAATTCGCGTGATTCAATACAAACATATTCATGAAATAATATCAACGAAAAGCAGTGACTGTTTCTTTGTTTAAATTGATTGACAAAAGAATAGTTGATAGCCGAGAAAGTCACCAATATAATATTAAAGATATTGAATGAAGTGAAGAGGCATACTTGGAAAGGTAATGAAATTTTACTGAAATACGTTATGACGTTGTTGAGAACAACCGAAAGGTAAGGCCAAACAATGCTCATTGCATTCTCAATGTGGGAGTCATCCTCTAAATCAGCACCATCAATACGCCCAGATACTTCGACAATATTTGCTCCATGCTGCGCGATACCAATGCGCACCTGAACACCTAACATGATCATTAAACAACCGCAATACTCTTCGATTGTTTCTGTCTCCAGTAACAATCCGTTCAGAAACTATGCCGACTGTAAATTGATTGAAGCTAATTGAATGCACAAATTGAGTCGTAATACAAAAATGACTTCTTCACACTTCAAAAACATTTCGATACTATTGCTGCTATTCTTATCTCGTTTTCCTTCCAATAATGCCTCAGTCGCTTCCGATTGATGCAATTTCCTTACTTCATTTAATCATTTCTTCCTCTCTTTTTGTGTTACAACTAAAAACTCAGTTTCAGCCTCTTGCGGTCCTCGACTTCTGTGAATAAGCTGATAACAAACCGCATCGTGCTTCAGTAATACACCGCATTTCCAACCGTAACTATATGGCCACTTCCTAACGCCCAAAGCGTCCTGTATGAGTGCTTCCAGTTCTGCGTCCAGCAGACACCAGTACGGAAATACGAATTTGAACGTTACTTGAAGTTCATCATCTCGTGGAAAGTTCGACCAATGCAGTGCCTTGACGAAATGAGCAAATTGAGAGCATGCATTCAAGACTGAAACTCAAAGCATTCTAATGAACGAAATCAGTAGCACGAACCGGTGCTTTAGTGGTCAGTGACGAGCTGGGTACATCGGTGAAACTGAATCCTTTTATTGATGACGAATTGTGTAAAATTGATAGAATTGTTGACTGAAACAAATAACTTTAACACGTCTTGAATTAATTGATGAAAAACATTCGAATAACACTGAAACTGGTGTTGCAAATAGTGTTCGTCGGGGAGCAATTTTTTGCACGGGGGGGGGTACCCGCGGGGAGTAAATTGGACGGGAGGGTCCCCGCAAAAAAGTCGGGGAGCAAATTGCGCGGGGGGGAGGGCTCCCCGCGTTCCCCGCCGGGGTCCCCGACGGGGACCCCGTTCCCCGACGAACGCTAGTTGCAAACTAACGACAGTATGAAGGATGAAATTCCGCCGAAAAGTCTGGATATTAAAGTGGGATTTTCTGGCATTTGTGAAATGTGCTTGGAAACGGTGAGAGTATCAAGGATAATGTCGCGTGAAAAGATACAATCGAGCGGAATCAATATATGTGGAGTGGAACCTTGAAGGTGGATTCATTTAATGAAATGAATGAGTGGTTTGTTTGAGGTGTTACTTTCAACCATGATTTTAACACACCAATTCGCTCATTACGAGCCGCACACTCGTTCATCAGTCTGAAATTTGATACGTTGATATCGCTGGATAATTTTTGTGACCACTAGAATGTGTCTGAAATTGTATTTTGAAAATCCGAAACGGGACACTCTTCGACTGTAAATAAGGACTCAGTTAAGACACACATTATTTCGTTCACACAAAAACATCATTTTCATTGTGGTTCAGTTCATACTGTAAACGTATGCTAAGCAAATCAACAAACTGCAGCTGTTCGATCTCATCCTGCCAGACTTTAGTTCGTGCACAGTTCAGCTCATCAATAGTTGACTTGATCACATCGATATCTTCAGCTCTCCAAATTTTTTGCACAAAAATCAACGATGTTTTTTCCTGAATAAAGAACAGCGATGGTTGCGTGGGCCATAACAAGAAAGACAAACACATAACATACAATCGCATTTTAAGTTGGCCTCTTATTAGAGAAATGAAAATGATAATTCAATATCGAGTATCACTTGTGTCGTGAAAGTTTTGCCGGCAATAATCAATCCTCTGTAATCTGATTATCGATAGGCAGTTACTAATCACTTGAAAAATTCGTGTTTCTTTATTCACCGATAACTCAACAGAGAGTTAGTTCTGTTTCTCAGCGCAAACGTATTTACCGTACACTCTTCAGAAATGTTTCTTCACTTGTAGCATCCATTTCTCAATTTCACTGCTTGCGAATATGATTCTGTTCTGCATCAGCTGTATACGTCAACTACCTCATGACGTGCAGGCTGCATTAAAAGGATATTGCACTACGTATAAACATAATAACTCACGTTGGTGATTTGAGCTAATCTCTTGATCGTTTCTATACATAATGGTGCCTTGGGGGCATATAATATCGAGCGCCTATCGTTTATTGAAGACACATCCGCTGAAATTGAGTTATTCATTAGAAAAACGAACGAACGAGCTTCGTTCATTTGCAAAAGTTCAGTTCACAGACAAACACTTCGTTATGTCGATCTATAATAAGCCCTAAGGCATCACCATCAGTAAGGTGAGCTTTCTGACATTCTGGTTTTTTAGAGTATCCATCATTCAAATGGAATTGTAGCATCTTTAACCGAATGGATCAATATTTCTTCTTTTGAGTCACGAAATGAATCTATTTGTGGTAGTGAATGTAAGAATTTAGTATTAATTTGCTGTTTTACTGCAGAAAAGTTTTTAACATCATCGGAAACGAATAATGTCACGGAATCATCGACTGAGAGCAATAAACGAGAGGCGGACGGAACTTTCGAAGGGTTATTAAACTGATGAACTGAGACGTTTTGTTAGAAAAAAATCGCGTATAGTGCTTCGGAATGGGTTTATTAAACATTTTGCTTCATATTTTCGATATGAGAAGACAAAAAAAAGGAATATCCACAGTAATAGAGAGATTTGGAATCTCTCAAAAAATTTCAGTTGAATTGCAGCGCAGAAAAGCTGTGTAAATCTAAAACGTGCTCGTTAATCCCTAATCTTTTTTTGTGAATAGCACAAGAGAGCACATGAGTCAGAAGACAGATTCTGAAGTCAAAATTATTTCGAAATTAACGATTGATTCTTAAGGCCTCATTCACTAGGAGTTATATCATGGAAGATGACGATAGCGAATTTTTCTGTTATTCTATGATGCTCTCATGCTTCCAATTGAAACACTCACCACAAAATTAGATTCTCGATTCGAATTATTTTTTCAGCAAAAAATTTTTTAACATCAACTCAGTTAATTTCACTCATTTCTCTTCTGTTGCTTGATGATTCGAGTGGATTCTAAAAATTGGTGCGATAGCCTAGAAAAGCGGAGAAAAACAATAATCCCATTTCATTCACTTGATGATGATTTTTTGTATCGTTTGATATCATCTGATAATCAAGGTTTATTCACTGCCTTTCAACATCTTATTCATGCCAATAACTTTAAATTACCTCGTTCCGAGTCTCTCAACGATTATCTTTACATCTTCAAACGATCATTATGAAATAAATCTGACATAATCTGACATAATAGGAAGTCAATTTACCCGTTTTAGGTAATTTGGAGGTAACGGCGGCCTGCCGGATCATCAAAAGGGGTAATGGAGCATCCGAACGTGAGAACCACCGAGTTATACGGAAGTCATTTCTATCTATTTATTTTCTACCCTTATTTTTTCCGATATGATCAATTTCTGCCCCTATTTTATTTATTTTATAATATGATCAAATGCAAAGCGATCAAATTTCACACACGTCCAACGGTTGATTTGAAATGACATCTTTTCACTTCAACGGAATCTTCAAGTATAATAACCCTGAACCATTGTTTGCATCATTGCGAAAGGTTTTCAGTTCATTAAACTCACCGATGTGAAAGGCGTTCAGCAGTGATTCTGGATCACTAAGCAGACTGATTATACGCGAGACGAAGTCAGCATCCTCACCGAACACATACATGTTTGTTTCGCTTTCGATTAACGAGACGTCGTTTAGATTTGCCTTGAAGCAATCATCCATCAATCAGTTGTCAGTACATCCGATCGATTTGCATAAATACGACGCAAGTGCTCTCTTCGAACAAAATTCATTCGTTATTGCACGAGAAACGACTAAGTTCTGCTGCGGCGAAACATTAATTTGCCGATAAGCTCGCCTCTTTCAGGCGTGAATTCGGTAGAGAATGATGGGCGTTAATACCACAATCATTAGTCCTAGAAGCATCACAAATTCGATAATAGGACCAATTTCACTGCAAAAGGAAACGAATCTTTCACTTATGACAGAAATTCCCATGGGGGAGGGTGGAATTGTTTGGGCGAAATTCGAGGGTGCCAGAGGATTGATTAAGGGGATAGCAAAAACTAATATTTTGTGGAGTTGTTATGACCTCTGATTATTAAACTATACCCGAAAAGCTATAAGGATTCTACTACCGTTCGTATCAACCTTTTTATGCGGATCCGGATTTTTGACGGTGTAACTTCTGAAAACAAAGCATCGGTCGAGACTGGTTGTTGGGAGCGACTCAGGCTGCACTCGTAATATTTGATATCAATTTCTGACCATCTTTATTATACTCGTTCAGTTGCTCATAGATTCGTTTCTAAGCGGTGCGATACTCGTTCCGTGATAAACGGCAACGACATGTGAGTTACAGCCAGAGCATGAATACGCATTCGTTTAGTGCACACATGAAAATGACTGAACAAACATTCGCGCGACACTAACTGGCTTCTTACCATATTTATTATAGCGCCTATGTTGATAGATGTTCAATGAAATGCAATTTCAATTCTCTCATTAATTTTCTCCCATTGTTTTGCTAAGATCATCAACTGCTGTCTAAGAGGAAGTCGGAACAATTCATAACTGATTCCTCTGGAGACACAAACGTTCTCTGAATGGTCAGATTATTCGAACGAATGTGAATACGAAAAGCAAATTCTCGAAAGGCATCCATCTGACTATTTTGCGAGACTCAGAAGAAACGAGGAGAGAACGGAAGAAATTCATAAGGATACTTCTATCGTTAGAAAAGATACCGAACGGAAACCAGATTTGCTCATAGCAAAATGAGGTATGCATTGCAAAAACAACCAAACTAACGAAGTCTAATGACGACATATATTACGAAAACAACAACAGTAAAAGTAGCATCAGGCATTTTATCAAGCAATCAAAAAGTAACCATAGTTGATTAATGCCAGTGAAGCATTGAGATTGGCATAATCAAATCATTCCGACTGATAAAAGATCGTGTTCAGCACAAAACTAATGAAAGAATTTTCGCAGCTTTCACGCTCCATTCAAAAATTGTTCCAAAATGGAAGGCAAAACGCATGGCGTTGTGAGTATGTCATGTTTTACAAACTCCTATAGGAGTGTATTTGATGGAGCACATAAAAAAATCAGGCGTCGTTTCTTCTCGTTAAAAATGTTTACACAAAATGGAGAGCTGTATCCGTAGAAGTGGGTTTGTTGGTATTGGATTGTCTGATGTCAATCACTCATTTCACTGATGCTGCTTCAACGTGACGTATTTGAGAGGGATGTTTGATGAATGGATACGAGAAGCAATAATGCAAATTGAATAGACGTTTGCCTCTATCATTTATCGCTTCCTTCGAAAAATATCGAAGATACTTGAGCGTTATCTTCTGCTTGAAATCGTCGTTGCCTGCTGAGCAAGTGACACATCTGAATTTGAATCAGAAGCTCTTTTTGAATGTGAGCTAGAGGATTTCATTGAAGTTTTTCGAGAATAATCCCTTCCTTTCTTCATTTTTCATCGATCAATCGGAGTGTATTTTCGGGCGCAAATCGAGCCCCTTTCACTATAAATTCTCGGGCAATATGCGAGCTACAACTCTAAGATCATAGAAACCACGGATTTTCAAAAATGTTAAGCTAAGAATGACTATATCTTTGAATACGGGGAAAGAATGATGTCAAAGAACGTAGAATGTGATATTTGTGATAGATAAGAGGAATAAATTCGCAATGAATCGTAAGCACCAAATAAATGTTATCAATAAATTAATTATATCATGCTCCTCGCTGCTGATATCGCTAAATGCGTTCACGCTGTGAGCATTGAGATAATTGCGTGCCATGAACACTAAACAACTCAAAATCGAGAGAAGTGAGTTATCAGCTTCTTTTTTTGTTGAAAATATTCCATTACTGAAGCCATATTGTGTCACCTGCATATTGCGTATTTAATTATCTCCATTCGCAGTATCCATGAAACTAATGGCACTAAGTTAAAGTCATTCGAACCGAATTATCTGAGCAATTAAATAGCGGTGCATGATAGTATATTATATCCACACAGTTTCTCCAAGAAACGCCATTAAGGTCGCATAGTGAAAGCAAGGGAGCATTGAGAGTATCGCAATGATTTCAATTTATTATACTTGCGAAGAGTACGTTCGTTGAATGTTCGTTCCCTCATCATCAGCTGACTTGTTAGCAAGTGTATAAAAAGTAATAATTTTCAGTTGGCGCGTGATATAAGCATGAAACTTCTCATAATTAGCCGCAGGAAAATGCAAGAAAAAAAGAAAGAAAATGTTCACGCGCTATTAACTAATTATTTTCCACTCTTTGCTCTAAGGGTTGTCAATCACAGCATTGAATTTATGGCTCAGGACAGCAAAAACTAGTGAGATATCCTGAGGAATATGAGATTATAAACGTTGCATTCCTGATGCTCTTGCAGTATTTGAAGTTGAGATCATTTGCATGTAGAACCTTAATGACTCTGCTTTAATTCCTTGATAATCTTTTTCTTTAGGTTAGAGCAGGGTTTCTCGATCGGAGGTCCGAGAGGGTGAGGTGAGAGGTGCGGGAGAGGGTGCGAGATAAGCTTTCATTTTTTATGCATTAAAATAGGCGAAAACGGAGTTCCAAAGCATACACATGTTGAAAGTAGGCAATGCTTTAAAAATAATTCTTTCGGTCGCGTTTCATTCTTAAATAAACTACTGTTGTAGGGAGTGCGAGGGCATCTTAAAATTATCTAGGAGGTGAGAAGGCATCTTAAAATTATCTAGGGGGTGAGAAGGCATCTTAAAATTATCTAGGGGGTGAGAAGGCATCTTAAAATTATCCAGGGGGGGTGAGAAGGCAAAAAAAAGTTGAGAACCACTAGTTTACAGCAGTAATTTTCATAGGGGAATTTCCTTTGCATGAAATTTGAGTTTTGTGGGGGAACTGAACACGTCGACAAATCATTGTTCACTGATCTTTGATCATATTTCCGTGG